ACACAATTTTCTTGGGGGATTTTTTCATATTTCACGCAATCGAGAATGAACGAAACTATTTGCAATATTTCAAGCAGCTGCATCAGGCTGCCACATGAACGGAATCCAGACATGAAAAATGCAATACTTGCTGGAGTGAGCTGCAGAGGTGCAGAGGGGTGAAGAAGCGGTGGAGAAGTGCTGCAAGTAGCGGGTGCCACAACAGTGATTGCGCTTTATTTGTGATAATAAAACACACCATCGCGCCCAGACGACGGCGACTACTGGAGCAAGGATGTGGCTAGCCAGTGGCTGGGGTAGCAAAGCCAAATCGAACCGCGAAATTGCAACAAACTGCTCGTGTACTGGTGGATTGGTGGGTTGGAGGAGCTGGTTCAGAGACAGAGCAGAAGTCAGGACCTTGTGGCAGGGTAAGAATGTTTAAGCTGCAACAACGTTGCAGCAAATATTAAAGGAAAACACAACGGGCTGTGTCGTTGTGGGGCGGTACGTTGTGGGGTGCGCCAAAGGATTTACTGCATATTTCATGTTCACAACGAACCAATTTTACGCTCTTCAAATCCTATTAGTCAATGGCCCTATGGGGATGCAACGGCAACGGCAACAGCAACGGCAACGCCAACGCCATCAGGAGCAGCATCAGCATCAGCACCACCAGGCACTGGCACTGGCCTGTATCAAGTCATCTGTTTGGCGGCAAAGGGTTGATATTGGGCTGGGTATAAGGGTGGTGCTGGGTGATTGGTGATGGCTCAGCTCAGATACTGCGATTTACTTCCACTACCCTTACCGCTACCCCTACACATACATGTATCTATATCTCTATGTGTGTGCACATATATATATATATATATACATATGTATATAAGTAAGACTCTCGGGCAACTTCATGGGCCCCGAGTCGGTTCAGGTCAGCTTAGTGTGTCTGGCATTTCCACACGATTATGCATGTGAGTGGCGGTGTTGGTTCCCCCCGGCCCTGGACCCACAGCCTCTGCTGCTGCTGCTGCTGCTGCTGGCTGCGGGTGGGGGATAAGCCCAGTGGACAGCCCGAAAAGCCCGCCTGGAAACGGTCCTCATCAATCTAGCTGCTTGGAGAGCATGAATTATGAAAAACGTGCAAAATGCAAACGGAAATTAAAATTTATCAAAAAAAAAAAAACCAAACAGTACGGAAAGGGAAGGAGAAGACAAGAAATGAACACACTCAAACCACACACCCACACACACATACACACACGTGCATGTGTGTATTTGAAAGGGTAAAAGAGTTTACAGTCCGTTAGACAAATACGGGCTAGGGTTTGTGTCTGTGGCAGGGGCAGGGGGGCCTCATCAAATCAAAGAAAACAAAAGCTGAAACAGAAACAGAAGCTGAATCTAATCACTAGCCATATGGTTGTCAAACAAATTTTAAGATTTAGAAAAAATGTAAAAATTTAGTAAAAATGTAAAAAGGTAGAATAAATGTAAGAATGTAATAAAAATTAAAAAAAAACCCAAAAAAATGTTTTTATTTCCCATTGACAATAGCTGACTGATATAAAACGAAAAAATTTTAATCTCGCTGCGGCGTTGCTCGCTGACCAAAGCTGACTGATATGAAACGAAAAAATTTTAAATTCTCGCTGACAAAAGCTGACTGATATGAAACGAATAATTATTTTTGCTTGCTGACAAAAGCTGACTGATATGAAACGAAATAATCATAAATGCTTGCTGACAAAAGCTGACTGACATGAAACGAAAAACTATAATTGCTCGCTGACAAAAGCTGACTGATATGAAACGAAAAATTATAATTGCTCGCTGACAAAAGCTGACTGATATGAAAAAAAAAATATAATTGCTCGCTGACAAAAGCTGACTGATATGAAACGTAAATTTATATTTGCTTTCTGACAAAAGCTGACTGATATGAAACCAATATAATTGTAAATGCTCGCTGACAAAAGCTGACTGATATGAAACTAAAAATTTAATTGCTCGCTGACAAAAGCTGACTGATATGAAACGAAATAATCATAAATGCTCGCTGACAAAAGCTGACTGACATGAAACGAAAAACTATAATTGCTCGCTGACAAAAGCTGACTGATATGAAACGAAAATTATAATTGCTCGCTGACAAAAGCTGACTGATATGAAACGAAAAATATAATTGCTCGCTGACAAAAGCTGACTGATATGAAACGAAAAATTATATTTGCTTTCTGACAAAAGCTGACTGATATGAAACCATTATAATTGTAAATGCTCGCTGACAAAAGCTGACTGATATGAAACTAAAAAATTTAATTGCTCGCTGACAAAAGCTGACTGATATGAAACTAAAAATTATAATTGCTACGCATGAGCAAAAGCTGACTGATATGTTACGAAAAATTAAGAATTAATCGCTGACAAAAGACTAAAGGAAAATGTAAAAACTAGAAAGCAATTAGCTAAAAGCAATGCGTAGATTTGTTATTTTTTACAAATTGAACAATTCAAACGAAAATTACGCGTTTTAAAGACTTTTTTACACTTCCGTTGTTTTCGTCCGTTATAGAATATTGTGAATGCTCAAAATCAATAAAATTTATGTTTTTCAGATTATATAAAACAATTGATTTGAACTAAAATAATTTGATATAGATATGTATGTATGTATGCATGTATGAATATATGTATATGGTCTATCAATATATACCTAGAGACATATGTATGTATGTATATGGGTTACATTACATGTGTATACAATTGGCTTTTACATATATTTACATGTTCTATATTCTAAAAATATATGTAAATTTATCGACAAAGTTGATTGTACGGCAGCAACGAAGTCGAAAGCCAACGGCATTTGCACAATATGTAATTTCTAAAAGAAACCTGTCTAAATTAGGGATATGTATATGTAAATGTGCAATTTCAAATAAATCAAACAAATACAATTTTTTATTTTTATATAGTGTATTTATTTCCCACCCCCACCCACTCTGCCCATTCCTCATTTGTGCTGCAGCAGGTCTGCTCAGATCGCTACATCAGTCCTCAAAACAAAACAAAAAACCAATTTCGGTTCAAGCGGACAAAAATTTTAGAGCCCACACAAGCACAGTATGTGAGAATACATGGCACACACACATTTACGTAAACTGAAATGTCAAGCAAAATCAGTTTCGGTCAATCCCAGAGCCGAACGCGATCGGCCCCAGAGTCTAAGACCTGGGAACGTACGCTGAAAACTCAGCTGCGCCACTTTCGTTGTATGAACGGGCAAATCTATATACTGTAGGGTTAGTGATCTAAGGCTGCGGAAAGTCCCCAAAAACCAACCACTGGACCAAACAAAAAAAAAACCCCACAACCAGTAGAGAGCAGGGGCAGGGACAGGAACAGGGACAGGGAATATATAGTATGTAAGGGAAAATTAAACATATTATTCCTGTCCTGTTCTATCCTGCTGGAGTTTCAGGCCACCCCCCCAAATACCACCCTCATCCCACTCGTTCAGCTGGCAATTTTGACAGGACGTCTCCTGCACAGCTGTTGGAAAACAAACCTCAACTTTGGCCGCATACAAATTTTTGTCAGGGTCCTGCCGGCGTGTCCTTTATTAATTTAACAGGCTCTACGGGTCTGTGCTGCGACTTTGACTACAACTTGAACGACAATGGGCTGGGGGAACGGCAGGAGGAAGAGGAGTGGCACGAGGCGGAACTGGCAGCAGCAACGGAATTCAACAAGCCATAAAACATATGAGCCAGGCGAGTCGCATGCATTTTTCATGAGCCGTTGGCTTTTGTGCCCATCACAATCATCACAGACCAGGCCCGAAAAGTCCCACTACTACCAGGGGCAGCGGAAGCGGCAGTGCCAGTGCCAGTCCCTGTCCCGAATCCTTAACCTCCCCCCACTCCATTGCGATGCCAACAATCATCATCAGCACTCATCCTGGTCCGCTCCAGAGGAGTCAGCTGGAGGACTTCTGCTCCTGCTGCTGCTGTTCCCATTCCGGCTGCTGCGGCTGCCGATGCTCTTGGCTACACTTGAACTTACAATGACACGTTCGAAGTTCGAACTGTGAAAGAGAGAGAGAGGGGCACTGTGTGGCAGAGCAGAGGAGTGAGGCAGGCGCCATAGGGCTGAGGGAGCCCTGCATATTTGTTTGGGAATATTCGAGTAGGAGCCTGCCACTGCATTTCTTGCTGCCCCTCATGCAACTCCTGGCCCGTTCTCTGCACACAAATTGCTTTCATTTGTTTTAATGGGATACGGCAGGCTTCTAGCCCTACCCTTCTCTAGCCCCGATGGATTTGCATACGTGCGAGTATATTTTAATAGAAACCAAATAATTGGTAAGTTGATCGACCTGCAAAATAAATATTGATGGCAGCTGAATGCAGGCATCTCCCAAGCTCAAACAAAGATGGGATTTTTTTAACGGGCATCCTTGTTTTCTTTTCAATGAAGCCTTTTTTAAGTGGAACTTTGCCACAAAGGAGTCTGAACAACTTTAAAGGGGTCTCTCATTCGTTTAATGCATGTCTCGAGATATGCAGGCGAATTTCTCAGCTTCTTCCACTCTTTTTAGTATAAAATAAAAATAATTATGTTGATATTGATCAATTGCAGTTCCTTTATGACTGCAAGCATTCTGCTGTGTCTTTTATCTTTTTATGGTGGAACATTATCTTTACGACTGCAATCCTCAAGATTCGAATAATCTTCGTGCTGTTAGATAACTTTTTCACATTCTATTTTCCCATATAAACCTGAAATCATCATTTTACTTTTACACCAAATTTACTAACATCTTGTACCCCTTCAGATGCATGTACCATAAATGCCTAAGGTTCACTTACTTCCTCTTGACGGTGTGGCTGTGTATGGACAGAGCTCGCTTCACCCAGAAAGGATTGCCTCAAAAGCAATCATCAATCATCTGCCTGGGGCTAAAATGATTTACTGATAGATACTTTAAAAGGCGGACGCCCCTCCTCCCATTGAGCAACTTTTGGTGTGGAAAAACTCTCTTTATTTCTATTCGAATAGAACTTAAAAAAATGCAGGATTCAATTGACTGTAAAAGTTCCCACATAACATATGCAGATTTTGCATACCTTTTTTTTTTTGTTATATTTTTTTCCGATTACAAATTCAACATATTCCGACATACCGACATACGTTTGCTAAATATTTATTTAAGTTTACATATGGGCCTGGTGTGTATACATAACACTACACATGTACATACATACATATGTACATATATCAGTAAATATTCATATACATATTTGCATGGGTACATGGGTGTGTGTGTGTGTGGTGTGTGTGGTTGGAAGTCAAATAATTTTGACACGCTTTCACGCGTGCTCTATTTTCATAAATATTATTTATTTATTTTGCAATCAATTTGTATATATATATATGTGTATGTATGTATGTGTGTATTTTTTATTTCATTTTTTTCCATGACTTATTCGTACATTTTTCTCCATTTGCATTTGAAATGCTTTTGGCATTTTGCTTAAACACTTACGTATGTAAATTGAAATTTGTCGACCATTGTCCATAGACTTTAATTGTAAATATATATGTAGCTACAAGTAAATATATATATATATTCGTGTATATATGTATATATGATGTGAAAGTCATCAATATTCATGGTAAACTAATAAATATATATGGCTATTCATTGATTTTGTAGCCTAATTGCTTAACTGAACACATTGTGAAGGGAAGTCTTTCTGCGGGCCCTCTCCGTGGGCTTTATCTGTCCTTATTCGATATGATTTGTGGTGCTACTGAGTGCACTTGGCCATAATTCTGTCATTTGCTTGAGCAACTCCCGATTGCCGTGCATCTGCTGAGAGTCTGTCTCTCGGTACCCAAAAACTCGGTCATATTGATTTATGGAATGCTTAATTTAAATTCTGATTGGGGCTTACGCACAAATGATTCCTCCGCCTGATTTAGTTAATACATATACTCGTAGCTATCATTTGTTGAAATTTAAGGGAGCATTAAATACAAATTTGACTTTGTTTTAACCATTTTACACTTAAATGGTTGATGAATTGCTCAATGTAACTGTAACTGTATCTGTATGTTTATGTATGTATTTATGTATCTGCTGATGGCTCGCATTGTTTCTAGCCATTTATTTGAGAATATCTGTATCTGTAGCTGTGTATCTCTGTATAACTATGTATCTGCTTATCCGTATTTGTATGTATGTATATATTATATGTATGTTTTGTATATGTATGTATATTAAGCTGGCGCACCATTTTACACTTGACTGCACGGCACCGGCCAGAGTTGTGTTGCTTTGTTTTCACTTTGCCTATATTTAATTTCACCTTTTTTCACTGTTTGCATTTTGTTTGTTTGTTTGTCTATGCTATTTTCACTATTGCTGGATGGCTGGCTGGCTGGCTGTGGGGTATGGAGAGGCGGAGGCACTGTTGCACTTAATTCAATTTAAATAAAATGATCATCGAGGCCTGGCAGAGTTAATTGCACGTTAACCCAAGCTAAAAACCAATCCAAATAAAAATAAAAAAACCTATTCTATCAATTAAATGAATATTCCTGTACTCGCACGAGTGTGTAAATTGTTCAATGGAAATGCTGACGCAAAACCTTCAAGACTCGACCAAACTTTTAGGGGGGACCCAAACGAAACCGCTTTGTGCCTTAAGTGCTTAAGCTAATTTTGGCTAGAAGCGGCACCGGAAACGAGCAACGTTGGCACGCACTGGATTCCACATCCACTGTGGCTCACGTAGCCGCTAAATGTTTCAATTTCGGCACCAGCGACAGTCCCAGACATTTAATAATACGCGCTCGGGCAGTGTGCTGTTTCGGGGGATTTCTCCCAGCGAGAGTTTTTGGCAAATGGCAAAGACAACCGCGAGCCACTGCGGCCGGCCATCATCGAAACGGCTGGTGAATGCCTCCTGGCCAAAAAGCAAACAAAATTAAAAACGAATTTCGAATGCCTTTGCAAGGCTCAAAAATGCAAATCGCATTCTCTGTCGCAGCATCAGCAGGAGGAGAGATGCGTGCAACACATACCACCGCACCACATCACACCACACTGCTGCACATGGATGTGAGTCCGGGGCAAGTTCGTTGCATACTTTCGGGCGCAACATGCAATTAAAATGCAAAAAAGGCAAATGGCAAAGGCCGCCTGCAGCTGCAGCTGCACCATGCACCACGCTACACGCACCACCCGAAAAACCAAAGACCAAAATCGATGCAATGCCAAGTTGAAACGGAAATGCCACAGTCTGTCGCACCGTCTGTCTGCTGGTCTGTCTGTGCAACGTCTGCGGTTAGCACAAGTTTGCCGGGGCTCGCTCGGACTCCCTATCTGTGGGAGAGTTCTCCTCCGTATGTTTCTCCTCTCTCCCTGCGTTGGAATGCGTGTATGGGTCTGTGTGTGTGTGCCCACTCTCGGTCTGTATGAGTGTTGATTTAGCGTTAAGCTTGTTGGATTTTTGCGTTTTGTCAACATTTCCCTGCGTAGTTGGCGCTGCATTCGCAGACTCTGTTGTCTGTCTGTCTGTCTGTCTGTGTGTGTTTCTCGGGGTGTTTCGAAATAATTGTTGATAGACTTCGGGGCAAGAGCATATCCTGATTGATTCTGTGGACGATTTTGAGTGGGAATGCTGTGAGTGTTCGGGTTCGGGATCGGGGCAAGGGTGCAAACGAAATAAAGTGAGTTATATATAGAGGAGCGTGGAGGGGGGAGGTGGTTCTATCCTACATGGTGACTATACACGAGAGGAGAGCTCAAGTTCAGGTGGCGATCAGGTAAGGTTCTAGGTCATTCAATTAGTTCTAGAGGTAAGTTAAACTCAACTTAATCTATGGTATACATATCGATATACATATTGCCTTTCGTTGGTCAGCCGATTGCCGATTGCCTTCGTTACGTTACTTAGCCTATCCCTAAGTGCTAAGCCTCTTCCTATACGAGTAGACTACGCTCGGGTTCCTGCTTGCCTAACATATGTGTATCACCTGATTGAAAGATTGATTGCAATGCCTATGGGGGTTGTATTTCGTTGAACTTAAGCAGCAGCGCTGCTTAGGGCCGTATCCTAGGGATGCTTCGTGTAGTTATTCAGCGGCATCTCATTGACGTGGGCATGGGCCAGGGCCACCTCCTTGTTCCGTTCGTGCAGGGCAATGTCCATGGGTGCGCTGGCGGGCTTCTTTTGGGCTGCCTTTTGTGTCTTCAGCTGGCACAGAAATATATATATATACATTAGTCAGTTTTGGAATGCGGCAGATGGGGGCGGGAATTCTCATATTTACTCTCTGAATGGTCTTCTCAAAGTCCTGATGCGGCTCAGGTCGCTTCATGGTGCTGCAGGCCCTCAGTCGCTCGTTTGTCTGCAAGGCAAAATGGTAGATGGATGGATGATGCTCGTACTTCTGGTATTCCTCTCCCCCCCACAGCCATGATTACTTCATTAACTTTGGAAGGCACAGGGAGCCACAGCATAAAACAAATCGACACCTCCAAACAGAAACGACCGCAGCCCCCTCGCCACGCCAGAACTTCAAAATGGAAATGTCAAATGAAAAGCGGCGAATAAGTATAATGAAAGGCCAACGCCAACGACAGCCCCAACTGAATTTCCCCAAAGCAACATTTCCGCAGCAGACCGCATAATGAGAGCGGGGCCAGGGCCAGGACCAGTTCCAGGACCAGCTTCAGCATCTGGCCCGGAACTGAGCTTGGGAAGCGGTTTAGACATACGCTCCGTGTGACCTTTGACTGTGGGTGGCACTGGCACTGGCACCCCTACTGCTGATCGCCTGCTGCTCACCCGCTGCTCACCCGCTGCTCACCCGCTGCTCCACCGCCAAGTGGCAGATGTTGCCGAGGAGGCGGCAGGGATGGAAAGGTAATGAGTGCCACAGGACACAGCACAGCCGACACACAAAAGAAGTTGTCCCGAGAACAGTGGCACGGAGTCGGAGCACAATTGTCGCCAGTGCTTAGCCCAAGTCATTTTCAAAATTGACCGCAAAACTCGCCGGGAGTCAGGGTGGCAGGGGGCCGGACCCAAGAAGAGTCGTGGCTGCAGAGAGCCCAGTACTGGATGGCGGCAAATTGTGCTTAAATATTAAATGAACAGCGCCGGCAGCAGCTACCGGCAAGGAGCAAAGGAGTAAAGGACACAAAAGGAAAACCGGACAACAACCGTAAAACACGAAAAGTTATAAACTCTCTCAGGAACCAAAAAAACAAAAAAAAACGGGCGCAAAAAAAACGAAAACGAAAATGAAAACAGAAAAAGAAAAAAAGAACAGGACGGGGGGGGGTGGGGTGGGATGGGTGTAAAACCCCGCCCCGAATGAGGAGCGAACATACCAAACGAAACACTTTGGCACGCCTGAAATAATAAAAACAAATGCACACGAAAAAGAAAAGGACAATCGTGTGTAGGGAATCCAGTTACCTGTGGACCACCTCGACCGCCTGCACCCCGCTGCCCATCTGCAGCTCCCCCTGGCAACCACCGCAAAAAAAACAACAAAAAGGGCGGAACGCGCAAAGGTGCAAATGACCCAAGACCCCAGCCTCCCCCCCAGGAAGTGGCTCCAAACCCTTGACAATCCCAGTTACCAGTTACCAGTTCCCTGTTAGCCTCTTACCACTCCTCGCTTCTGGCCTGTCCTCTGGTGTCCTGGTTTTTGCATTTGTATCTGTATCTGGCACTTGCACTTGCAGCTGCGGCTGTCCACTCCCTGCCACTGCCACTTGCCCTGCCTGCATATCTGACTCTTCATCATAGCCCAGCCGCCCCATCGACAGTTCATATCTGCGAGTCTGGCATTTGCATCCGGCACATGTCCTGTCCTCCTGTCCTGTCCTGCCTGGTCCTGCCTGTGCGCTTTGCGCTGCCAGTGTTGTCATTGTCTGGTTTTGGCCCCGCTTGCCTTGGCCAAGTCAACGCAATTAACGGTAATTGCCTTTTATCGGCTTAGCCTTGATAAAGTTTTCTACTTCCCCAACCCACAACCCCACCTCCTCCACTTTCAACCTACGGAGCGACTCTTCCCCCCCGCTTCCTTTTCGCTGCTGCTGCTGCTGCTGCTGTCGTTGTTATTTGTAGGTTTACGCGGTTTTTCTATTTTAATTTAATTTTATAAGTAGCCCACAGCAGCCCCACCAGCAGCGACGGTTGCCAAAGTTGTCCATAGCTAAAATTCGACATTAAACAGAAAGATGGCCAGAGCCAGAGAATGGAATGGACAGATGCAGCAGGGGATAGCGGCGACAGAGGAAAGTTTTTGTTTTGAATGTGGCAAGGAAATGCTTTGAAGTTGCCTCCAAATTATAGAACTTTTCCATGGCATGCCACGGATACGAAGATAAGGGGCAGCCAGCGGAGTGTCCTCAGCAATGAGGAGGCGGATATAGTGGAGGAACTCTCATCATATTCATAATTCTTGGGGTGATTATAGAGTGTGGTGTGTACTCGTATTTAAGCAAGCAGTGTCAGGACGGAAATGTCTCCGCTCTAGTGCCGGAAATGCAATGCCTCCTGCTAGCAAATTCAATTCAGCAAAGAACACTTACAGCAGCGGAAGGAAAGCTCTCAGAGCTCTCCAAATTTTTTCCTGCTTGAGGTTCAAACATTTGCACTCACCTTCAGCTGCATTCCCTCGGTGGCGTTCAGCTCGTCTCCGCTCTGCCGCAGGCCCTGCAGGAAACGGGCAAAGACCGTGCGCCGCTGCTTGTGCTTGTTGCGACCCTCTGGCGTGGTGTGGCGTGGCGTGGTGTGGAGTCGATCCAAATCCAGATTCAGAGATCCAGCAAAAGAAGGCAAACAATCAAAACCGAGAATCAAACAAATAGGCAAACAGACAGACATTTCATTTGATTAACCAGACCAGAGGCAGAGACAGCGACAGCGACAGAGGCAGAGAGACAGAGAGACAGACAAAGTTTAAGCGCAAACCAATTTAATTGAATTAAAAGCCATAAAAACCAAACAGCCGCCGCCAAAGTGTCTCTAACCTCCAACCTCTGGCTGCACTCACTTGGCTCCCCCCTCTTACCTGTTGCCGAAAAGTCGTAAAAGAAATTGGTCCGAGCCCCCGGATAGCTGTGCTGCATCCCATTCAGATTGAGGGCCGACTTGGAGTCGATGGCATTGCGGGCCATGCGATTGGCCAAATCGTTCTGCGTGTAGCTGTAGATCTCGTTCTCCTCGCGGTTCGAAAGGCAGCTGGAGGGCTGCAGACACACACACATGCATAATGAACGAGATGAATTAGGGTCTGATTAGTATTAGCCGGGAGGGGAGTGTGTTCGTTTGGGTAGGTCCGGGTGAGTCGTAAAAGCACTCGGGCCGTAAAAAGTCAGAGTTCGTTGGGCGCTTACCAAGTACTTGCCGGGCACATACAGCGGCTGGCTGTGGCTGGTGGGCAGGACGGAGGAGCTAACCAGTCCACCGCCGGAACTGGTGCTGGTGCTGCTGCTGGCACCGGCCAGGCGGCGGGTGAGCGTGTGGCCCGTGGATATGCGCACATGCCGCTCCTTCCACTTGGACAGGCGCACCTGCTCGATGGCATCCAGCACGTCCTCGTACGGCATGTTGATCTGCTTGCTGTAGTGGGCAGCCAAACCCTCCAGATATCCACGTTTGCCCTCCTGTAAAACAGACAGAGAGAGACAGAGTTGGAGATGAGACTTCGACTTAACCGCAATCCAATCTAAGGCCAGGGTCAAAAGCAGCTCCTTGCAGGAGTCAGACAGGAGCAGCAGCAGCAGCAGCAGCAGCCACACAAGTGTTAATATCTTCCGGTAATTAGCGTGTGGCTGCCACTTAAATGTGTCCCTGTTTGACATTCAAAGCAATCACTGAAGCATCCCCGAGCTTCGTGCTCCCCGCCTGCCTGTCTTTGTGCCCCCTGGCAGCCGTATGTATCTGCATCTGCATCTACATTTGCATTTGCATTTGCATCTGCTCTATCTGTGTGCATCTTTCTATTGCAGAGAGCTCTCACACGAGCTGGAGGGTTGGCTGCGAAAATTCATTTAGCGTCGCATTCATGTAATGCCCAGGCAAACATTTGTGCTCAAATGCAACTTGTCTGCAGCTGTCAGTCAGACAGCGATACATAGATGCAAGCACAAGCACACCATACACACCATAGACACACACATGTATACATGTATAGATATGTCTGTCTCATCAGCGCAAAGTGCAATTAGTTGAAGTTGGAGCCCGCGCGTCAACATGGCTCAGACAGAGCCAGAGCCACAGCAGAGCCACAGCAGAGCCAGAGCAGCGCAGAGCTCGTGCCAGAAGCCAAGAAGTCTCTGTCTAACAACTGCCAGCCAGCTGCTACCCCGCCTGACTCCCCCCGACTCCTGGGACACCTGTCGTCTAGCCATCCATTTGATATAATTTCATTTGGGTCTTTAAGTTGCATTTCAATTTGAGCCAACAATCGTAAATATTTAACCACACTCCCCGCCAGACTTTGGAACTATGTTAAGTACTCGGGCAACAAAAAGAAGCGCTAATTAAAATGCAAAGCAGCAGAGGCCGATGCCGCTGCCGTTGCTGATGCAGGCCCAAGCCTATGACAAAAGTTTTCACACATTCTACAAGGAGTCGACGCCACAGACTGCACAGACTCCACAGACGCCACGGAGTGCAGACTTTTTGGCTCTTTGCGTGGCAGTGGCAGCCTTTCAACGCGCGTGGCCTGCATATTAAGCAGCTGCAACATCATCGACAGCGACATCAGAGCATCAGAGCATCAGCATCTGACGAGTGTCGGGTCTGGCAACTGTCAACACTCTATGCGTGCTCAATAGGCAGTCCTGCCACGCCCTTAAATGTAGTCCTCCCCCTTCATCTACTTCATCTTCTTCGGCAGCCTTCTCTTGAAATATGTTTAAATGGAGGCAGCTTCGCCTTGCATCTATTTGCATTGGCTTGCATGCGATTTCTTTGGCGGAATGCAGTCGTCCCTGAACCAGTGACATGTTTTCAGGCACCACCACAAAGCATACACACACCAATACACAGATGCACAGATACACAGGCATTCATGTGAAATAAACTATAGACAACGAAGGCAATCCGAAACGAGGCACTTGGGCCCTTCAATATGCATTTATGTGCCATGCAAAAGAGGAGCAATTGCTGCTTGCCCCATGGACACGATTGCATCACAGATTTGTCCCCAGCCTAGCCGGCATGCAGTCTGCACTGTGCTCTGTGGCTGTATCCAAATTTGCCGATCACTTAATTTTCCCGCTGCCACACAACAACCGCTCTTACATTTTCACCTCCCTTCGCCTTCCCTCCGCAGACCGGCCAGCCACAATGCACGGGTTTTATCTGTAAGCCAACAGCATTGACCAACAAAATACGCGCGCCAAATAAACAAAATTAACGCAATGCAAAAACATTTTGGCCACCGGCCTGGGACCAAAATGTTGGCTCCAATAATAAAATAAACAGGCTATGGATGGGGTGAGAGAGAGAGGTTAGTGGCAGCGCGGGGAGCTGTAGCCTCAGTCGTTTGGTTGGCCACTCGGTTTAACTAAATTAAAATCGTGTTAATTTCACATTAGAGCGCACACAGCAGCGCCGGCGACTGTCACAACTCTCTCGCTGCCCTGGGGGGGCGGCAGGAGGCAAATCCAGCAAATTGCCAGAGCCAAACAAAATGGCCAAGATAAGAGCAATCGGTTGGCACGTTGGCTGGATAGTTTCTGGTTTGGCTGGAGGTAAGGGTTAGGTCTGTTGTGGTGCCTGGTGCCTGGTGGTCTGACTTACACTTACCGGTGTGGAGTACGGGTGGGCGGTGAGGCGGATGCCATCGGCCTCGAGGTGCCGCTTCATGACCGCCTCCAGCTCCTTCATGGTCACGGGCGTATCACAGTCGGAGGCCAGGATCTCGTTGCTGTTGCTGAGCGCCTTGGGGTCATTGATGAGCACATAGACAATGGCCGCCCCCTTCTCGCGCAGCATGCGAACGCTCTTCAGCAGCTTGCCGCGATGCGACAGATTGTCCACGCCGATGGCATCCAGATCGATCTCGCCGATCTGCTTGCAGATCTCCAGCTCGTCGTAGCCGTTCTCCAGGAAGCTCTCCCCGTACTGGGCCAGGCCGATGGTGCGCAGCCACTCGCACACGATGTTGTGGTGGGTCATCGTGTTCGCGTATCACGTGGCCACCGTCGGCACGCCGATATCCAGCGGCGCGAACGATACCTTGGCCAGCCGGTGCGGCTTCGAGGTGCTCGCCCCTGCAGCCGTCCCGATTCCCGCTGCCGCCGCCGCCAGGGATAGCTCCTGGGGATGGCTGCTGCTGCTGGCGGCGCTGCTGCTGCTGCTGGTGGTGGGCGGGGTGCTGCTGGACGTTGCCTTCATAGCAGCTGCAAAGAAAAAGTGCAAACACACACACCGAATGAGAAGACAGAGACGAAGCAGGCTTAGTGCAAATGTGCGTATGCGTAATTCTGTTTTGGATACTTCCGGGCGGGGCCGGGACTGGGGTCGGGGCCGAGGCCAGGGTCAGGTTATTGCCATTAAAGTCATAGCAACAGGGGCTGGCATATCAATTTGTGTTAATAGCAGTCATTGTTCACCCACGCAGACAGATGGTCAGTGAGAGAGAGCAGGGAAACAAGGGTTTGGATCCTGCCTATAAGCACTTAATGATAATGCTCGGTCATGTACACGAGCCACTAAAACACTTGAATATGTTTAGCCCCGGAAGCCACTTGCATATGAATAAGCCACTTAAAATGACAGATGGACCGGCCAACACACCCAAACGACACTCAGGGAGCACACACACACAAACACAGACAGACAGTCAGGGGGAAATCTCAAAGAGCCAAAGCCAGAGCCAGAGAGAGAGAGAGAACCGACTGCGCCCTCGGGTCACAGACAAAAGACAATGGGAAGTCATCCTCCAACTATTTGCAAGGCCCTCCACCCGTTTGTTATTTATAACGTTGGAGAAGGAATTTTGAATTTGATGTTGATGTTGACCTGCTGTTTGCAACGCGAACGGGGAAGTATACCCTGCAAGCCATCTGATTGAATTTTTTAGCAGATAAAATCTACTTTTTGTGGCATGTGGTGGACTAGATCGGATCATACTGAGCCATAATTTAAGTACTCCTTACAGCACTCAGTCAGAGCTCATCCAAATCGGATCACATCACATACCCCACAGGGTATGTACAAGTTCGGAGTAGCCCGAACCTAGGCTTGTTGTTGTTTTGTGTCGAGTGTGTGCGTGTGTCTGGCTGTAAAAATAACTTTGCTTGAAATGCAAATGTCTGCTGGCAGCAGAACAAAACAGAACAGAACTTTCCTTCAGGTGTTCTTCCCAACCAGAACGAAATAAAAGTAAATGTCCAAGACATCAGACAAACAATGGCCTAATGAAAATAATGTGGCTACTGTTTTCTCTGCCCTGCCCTCACACACGGCAGCCGGCTAGCTGCAGCTGTCATTGAGTGCGGCTGTGGTGCCATCAAGTGGTTGGGTTCTTCGTTGGTGGTGGATTGATTTATATACTCGCTCGGCTCGGCTCGGCTCTTGCAGACAAAACAAATTAGAAGTTGTCTTTGATTTGGGTGTGTGTGGGGGAATGCCTTTCATATTGATAAATACACGCCAGATGAAATTCCAGCCATGCTGGACAATGGGGCGTATGCTGATTGCTTTTTAGCAAATGAAGAAGTGGCTCTCAAGTATGCGAGTACCACAAGACAGACATTCTGTGCCAGAATGTGATGTAGAATTTACGTAAAAGATGGTCTCAACTATGAAAATACGAATATCGGAAGCAGGGACCTCCTTCCTCCCTCCATCGCATCTAGACCAGGCTGCCTGCCTCGGATAACTTTCGGCACATTGTTAGCATAATAAACACGCAATAAAATGCAGCAGGGGGAAAATCAGTTAAGTCAATTTTGGGAAGATGTTTTGCACACGAGCAGCAAGCAGCAGCCGCTGCCTGTACTTGGCCAAAGTTTATTTGCTGCAGCAGTTGCAGTTGCCACTTTCAGTTAATGAATGCCAGTGGCACATGCAACAGCCATATAGCCACAGTCACAGTCCCACAGCCAGATATATACAATATATGTACCGAAATAATGTCATATACCATTTATATCAGAGTGTAATTACGTGCATGTAAATGCTCCAAATTTGCATATGCCGCAAGCTGACTCCGATAAGCGTCTTAAATTTTCAATTTTCTTGTTTATTAAGTGCTAAATAATTGTTTGTGTTCTTCCCCAGGGGGGGAAAGAGAGTCCGAACCCTGATCAAAGGTGTGTGTTCCGTTTGTAATTAATATCGAAATTTTGTGCAATTTCCTCGGCTCTCCACTCACACTCGCACACCTTATGCAAAACCAAATGAGATTTCCTGCTGCACTTCGTTGGCCCTGCAATTATGGGGCATTTTGTGATTTCTGTTTGAGGCCTTTGAGGCGTGTGAAATTCCCCAAAATGTGCAACGCACTTTCCCTAATTACCCCACCCCCCCGCAAGAGCCCACTGCTTCGCACTCTAATTAAGAAACCTTCGAAATGGCAACCATTCGACACAATTGCCAGGGAGATGCGGCAGGGAATCGGATCTAGGGCTTTGCTTAAATTACGCAAAAACAACAACAAACATTCGGAGGACAGTCGCACACAATCAAATACACTCGTTGCTATATGCACACACATACTCAGGTACATAAGCACACATGACAATGGCCCCATTGTTTATGGCTTTCACAGCATTTTTATATGCAAAATTCTGCCAGAGTAATTAATTTTAATATGAAAGCCAAACATGAACGCGCTCTAACAATTGTCATATAATTTGCCGTCTAGACAGTGGAAATTTAGTATTTTCAATTAACTGCAATGGCAACTCCGCTGCAGTCTCTCCTCGCAGCCCTCGGCACCCCCAACAACAATGCACACAAAAAGGCGCACAATAATGATGGGGAGGGAATACAGGACCTGCAGCCGGAGTCAGAGCTGGCTGGCTGCCATGTTGACATAGCTAGCCGTGAATAAAAAACAAAAAAACCCAAAAGCAATACAAAAATATAAAAACTGAGACTCGATTTGGTGAACCGAAGTGGGAAATACCCTGGCAGAGTCATCAGAAATTCGCTTAAACAATTACGGCTCTATGGATTTTGGCTGCAGACACTGCAGAATTCTAGAGTATTTTGTCAAGTTTTATTAGAGTAATATTACTGGAGCCATTACTGGAACCGGGCGACAGGGCCAGATGGGTTCAACTGTTTAGCTTGTGGATTTTGCTTTGCCTCGCCTCTGGGGCTTTGCATAATTTCGCTCCCCAATTATAATGCTCTCTGAAACAGTGTGGTGCAGCAGTTGGCAGAGCTTTCTCTGCCATCGCTGGCATAAACAGCCTTGACTCTGGGCGGGCAGGAGCTGGAAAGCGGGCTTAGGGACGCCCTCAAGGTTGGCAACAAAATTGCACGGCCAGTCACTTGAAGGTAATCGGAAGGGGGGAAAGCTGTGAGGGTAGGCCGCTGGAGTGGGGGCAGCTACATTCGTGTGCCAATGTCACTGCATCTGACGCACTGCTGCACTTGCCACTCGGCGTTCACTTTGAGTCGCGACTCGACTGGTTCCCCTTTCCCAGCCGCCGCCGACTGGCTGGCTGGCTGGCTACGCACTTGCAACTTGCTGCTGCTGCTGTGTCTGTGGCTGTGCCTGGGAAGCCCTCCAAGTGGAGGATGGAGTGGATGCACATGCACCAGTCCTTTCCCCCGTCCATGTACCAACCCCAAACCAGCTTGGTGTGGCCATCAAAGCGTGTGATGTCGACTCGACGGCTTCGATTTCACTTTTTTGCCCCCCTCCCCACCAGCCAGTCGTGTCATGTTTGTCCCCCTTTGGATTTTTTAATTGAAATTTCATTTGCTGCGTTTGTTTGCACATAATTACGATGGGTGTGATATCCGCTGGATCCGCATGCTATGCAAATTTAAGGCGAATCCAGCCCGGAGATATAGGAAATAAGTGCAGCAAGGATGCAGAGTTTAAGACCAACCAGACCAGCGATGACTGAATAGAGTCGGAGGTAGACTGCAGAATAAAATGAGTGCATGCCTGAAGCTGCAACAGAGTTGAAGTGTCCTCGTATTCGTATTCGTTCTTTTTTTCCTGTGGTTTTTGTGGTTTCATTGTGGTTTGGGAACGGCTCGAAAAGTACTCCAAATCCAATGCGAAAGCTGAGATGAGTTGAGCTCAGCTGAAAAGGAGCTTTCCGCCTGCAGGCAGCTAAAAGGCAGCTCCATTCAGCTCCGAGTATGAAAACAAACAAGCCGAAATCTATTCAAATAGTGAGCTGTATTAAATGGGATTTATGGCGAAAGTGGGGTGCAGATAGTAGTTTAGTTTTAGCCCAAGCTTAAGGCCCAAATAAGTTGGCCAAAATGGCAGCACTTAGCACTCTGCTCCTTGCAGCAGCAGCATGCAATAAATGTTACAAATTAAGATACATATTTTTCAAAAGAAATAACTATGTACGAGTATTCAAATGAAATGAATAAAATATTATTTAAAACGAAAAGTTCTGTCGAAAGATTTTTAATTAAGTAAATTCTGGATTGAAGAGTGCTCGACACAATTTGCATTTAATATTCAAAGCAATATTCAAAGCGCAAAATCACTCATCCCCTAGCCCTAACCCTAATCCTAACCCAAGATTATGGAGTACCTCCCACCGATTGGTGCGGTATTATATCGTTGAACCAATCGACTGCTCGACTGATTGAATAATCACTCAGTGGAAGCGGAAACAACATTCTGCAACAGGCTACTCGATTAATTTACTTACATTGTGTATTGGGCAATCGATGCGGGGGAGAGCTGCTTCTCAGCGCTGCTGCTGCTGTTGTTGTTGCTACTCACGGCCAGAAATTAAGCGGCTTTTGGGGGGGGCGGCGTTTAGTAGTCTTTGCTTCTAATCAAATGCGGCGGCACTTCATTTGTTGCGGGGATTTGTTGACTCTGGCGTGCCTATAAAGACATAATCCGCCAAGCTCCCCCTTTGGGTGGACCACCTGTCCGCTTGTTGTGGTCCAGAGACTCGAGATTCGGTGGCACGCAACGCTGCAGGATGCCCGTTAGACGCTGGTCACACGCACGCACAATTATGCCATTTGATTTATGGCATTGGATCGAACGATTTTAGCCAGGACGCGGTCTCTTTCTCTCCCACACTCTGGCTCTGCCTTGCCAAAAAAAGACAATACAGGAGCCCGGCGAAAAAAACTGGCGCCAAAATGGGCAACGTTAGGCGCGGATATATACGAGGCCGGAAGCAAAAACACACACGCACACACACACGGCGACACGACGCGCAAAATGGCGAGCAAATTACGACTGACAAAGGCGAAGCAAAAGGCAAACCCCGAAAAAATGCCACAGTTTGCTGCCTCGAATCCAGCGATGATTACCAGCCTGCAGGCGGACAACAAAAGAATGCCGAAAAAAACTCCAGCTCGAACTGGGGAATCTGCGAGCAGCGTAGCCTGGAAATCAGTCACTCGCTCGCACGGCTAAGTCGCGCGCTACCGTGTTGCAGCCGGTACGCGGGTCGCAAGAACAGAACAGAACAGCACAGAACAGAACAGAGCGGAACGTGGTGGAGCAGCGCTGGAAAAAATGCAACCAAAGTATGCAAAGCACGCGAACGTACTGCGGACTCCTCCCTGGCTGGGCTGGGCTGGCAGCAATGCAGCCGTTGGCTCAGTGCCTCAGTTGCCTCCTCAGTCGAGACGAGGCACACAACTCGGCGAACTTCTCGAGCCGTGCCGCACCGTAAACATTAACGCTAACGTTAACGTTAACGCTAACGTCGCTGCCAGCCAGCCAGCCAGCCAGCCAGCCAGCCAGCCCATACGGTCGGGGGACGGGCAAGGGGCGAGCAGTTGAAGAGGAGCTTTTGCCCACGTTGCAAGTGTTTGTTGTAAGCGATACCCAGGACTCTGGCCGCGTGGGAGCTCTGGTGGCAGCGCAGCTGGGGAGGTTTTTTTTTTCAATATTTTTTTCCGCCTTTTTTTTCAGCTTTATTTTTGTTGTTGCTGCTAGGCAGCGTCAGCCACCCCGCTGAAGCTGAGGCAGAGGCTGAGGCAGAGGCAGAGACTGAAGCCGGCAAATGCCTAAGTGCAGAAAGTAGGTGAGGCAAGGCAGCAGCAGGCTGCCACATGAGCCGAAGCGAGACAGCGTGGCAGACGAGAAGAGGAAAGCAGAGCAGAGCAGAGAGTGTTTACCTCAGCTTAGGGCTCTGTCAGGCAGTCTGGCTCTCTTCTATACAGCCTATGCCGTGCCACAAAACATGAATGAGTTGTGAAGCAAATGAAGTGCCACACAGCTCGGGCTGACGAGCCTTGCCTCATGCACCGTGCACTGTGCACCGTGCTCATTGCAACCCGCAGCGTATTTAAATATAGCAGAGCACCAGAATAACAGAGGAGCAGCAGCAGTGGCAGCAGTGGCAAGTGCAACGCATGCAGCAGTCGGCGAGCGTGGAAAGGAAAGCGTCTGCCACATCCGCAGCAGCAGCAGCAGCAGCAGCGACGCTGGCGCAGACCAACGCGCAGACAAAACGGGACGAGCGGCAGACAGCAGCGTTCACAGGCTATCATGTCACCGCCGCCGTCCTCATTTGTCTGTTTGCTGTGTATCTGTATGCCCTTACTCGGAGGCTACTCTGACTATTATCAGCAGCTTACGACTCACAGAAGGGTAGCCGATAAAGAGCGTATACGAGCGATACTCGTACCTTGGGAATGGGAATCAATGGGATCACTTAACTCTACACTTTGTCTCGAGCCTGACAATAGATAGGATAATTGTACTTCTACATGTATGAGCTTCTATATGTACATATATTATATTATATATAAAAAACTATCTCTCATTTAGAATGAAAGGAATGGAAATATTTGAGCAGCAATAAAACGCCCTGCCAGAGTGTGTTCCCCGATGCGACCCTTAAAGCTAGGCCATTTGCCATGCTTTATTTTAATTTCCTTTTTTTTTGTTGTGTGTGGCAGACAGAGAGACTGAGACAGAGCGACATGCAGACTGGCTGGCTGGCTGGCTGGCAGTTTAGTTTCGACTGAGTCTGAGCCTGGGCATATTTTGTGCCTCATCATCTCGGCCGCTGAGTATGACACATGCGAATGACTGCAAACAAAAATGAGAGGAGCAGGAGTTGCTGTTCGTGCCTGCCGCTACCGATGCCTGATGCTGTTGTTGCCACTGATGATATTGTTGCTGTCATCAGCAACATTTTGCCGTGCAGCAGCGGCGGCGGAACTTTCTAGTGGACTCCCCTGGCGGTGGATGGAGAGGCGGTGCACAGCGACAGCAAATGCTGATGCAGCTGAATAAAGGGTTACTGGCAGAGCCGACCTTGGTGGGGGGAGTGGGTCCAGCCCAGAATGCTCAATCCGCAAATTACCAGATCATTGGGTGTTAATAATAGCACGGACTCTATTTGATTTGGATTTGCAGATGTATTTCCTCCCCCGATGATTGTTTTAATTACTATAATTATGGATGCACATTTTCCGTGTTAGTCATAGCCATGCAGCACTGTGTATATGCCCCAAAAAAAAAACAGAGATGTTAGCAAAGAATAGAAAAACTTTAATCAAAAGAAAATTACACAACAAAGGCACCCCAACCCCAGACTCCGCTCTGTGGACGGGTGGGATCTTGTGAAGCGGAGAGGGAGTAGGGTAAGTCTGGGACTGGAACTGGAACTGGAACTGAGCCTGAATTAGGGGTTGTGTGGGAGAGTATGGTCTGCTTATAGGCTGGCCGGGGCACGTACTTGCGGTGGCATGCACATAATGAGTGCTGGCTCCAGCATAAACGTGCCATAAACAGTGGCACAACCCCATCCCCCAGCCAGTATCTGTCTCTGTTCCTTGCCCAGCCCCCACCCCATAAATATTCCATGTGGCATGCGTTGACAAAGCTTCGACTGTGACATCTGGAGCATGAGAGAGCATATCATATAGGTAAAGTTTTCCATGTTGAAGATATATTTCCAGGCAGGGCATAATGCTGTGCTGTGCTGTGCTGACGAGCCGAGTCGCGGAGAGGCTTCCACTTTTATCGGTGCTGTTGTGATAGTTGACTCGCTGCTAAGCCTATTAAGGCGCTTGAGTCGTCCAACAAGCCAACGACTTTTGCACCGACCAGGTTTCGCTGCTCGTACATGCCGCCGCCCACTGATTCTGGTTTTGGGGCAGGCAGGCAGGCGGCAGGCAGGCACTGCTTTTTGCTTTTTGTGTTGCAACAAATGATAGGCCCCACAGGGGAGCTAAGCTCTCGTTGGGGCTGCAGATACAGCTGCGGCTGCGGCTGTGTCTGTTCCTATGGCTCCTGCTGCTGCTGCTGTTAATTACGGGTAGGTTGAGGCGGACACGGACACGGCACTGAGACAGAGGACGTTGCTCGTTAGTGACGCTCCACATCTCAGCCTGTCTCGCTTTCTCTTAGTCTGTCTCTCTCTCTCCCCCCTCTCTCTCTCTCTCTCCCTCTCTATGTATGTCCCTATCTCTGTCTCTGTCTCACTGGCTCTTTCTGCATCCGCTCTGGCTGCAATTTTCTCAAGAAGCCGCACTTAAATGGCTTCCCCATGCTGGTGCAAACAAAAGCTGCCACACACACACACATGTCTACATTTCTCTCCGACTCCTCTCTGTCCCTGCCCCGTCACTCTCTCTCCGCTTATATGCGACAGTTAAAAAAAAAAATATGGCTAAAATCGCTGCTGCAAGACGACTGAAGTGCTGGTGGTTGAATTTGTTTTTTGTTTTTTGTTTTTGTGTCTTGCGACGTGCAAATGGAAAAAGAGTTGCAAATTTGTGCTGCTGCCTCTGCCGCTGCTGTTGCTGTTGCTGCCACTGTTCTGCGCAACACATGCGCCATTATGCAATTGATTTTTCTTCGTTGTTTTTCGTGCAGGCTTTATTTGTGTGGCATTGTTTGCTGGCTGACGCCCGGGCCAAGCACTTGGCTTAAAGCTAAGCCATGCTCACCTACGCGCTGGGCAGGGGGGTGCTGGCATTCAAAGGTCATTCAACCTGAGTGAGACTAATTTGCCGCTGTCCCGGCAGATGTGTCTAATTAAGCAGATCCCTTTCACCAGAAGCCCCTCGAACTAAAGCCAAAAAGTATGCAAAAAAAACAAAACGCTAAAGGCGCTGAAAGGCCAGCCCGGGCTTACACACACAGAAAGGTGTCTAAAATGACGCTTTATATGCGCTGAAACAAGTGGAAAGAATAAACTGAATGCATACAAACAACGTGGCATGCACAGAGCACAGTGCACAGTGCACACTGCATCTGCACTTGCATCTGCGATGCACGTGCTCTATCTCATTGGAGGTTGCATGCAATGCGGCGCGAAGCTCATAACCCTGAATGCCATGCCCTGAGACAGCAATGAATGCAAACGGTCTGGCGGGGGCCCAGCATAAAGACAGACAGTCCACAGACGTACCCACACTCCACACTCCAGCTTCGCCTCCGCCTCCTCCCCCACTTGTATGCACCAGATTGCGTATACGCAGCGTTGGCCACTTGCAACTTCCCATCTCGCTCTCTCTCTCTCTCCCTCCAGCTCTCTCCGTGTTTGTGTGTGTGTGTGTGTGACATGCTGTGATAAGCCACCGCATCTCCAACTGCATCTGCATTTGCATCGCCCTCTCTGACAGCGAAATTGGAGGCCAGGCCGCGTTTTATGCGTGCGCCCTGGCCCCAGCTCAGATTCCTGCTCCTGCTCCTGCTTCTGCCCCTTCGCATGCAGCTGCCCCTCATTGTGAATGTCAAGTGTTGGCAGTTGGCTTGGCAAGATGTTTTGTGCGACGCCGGGGCAACATCAGCGACAGCGACAACGACAACGGGAACAGCTACGCCAGCAACATTTGCTGTGTCAAGTGGCAGTCAAGTGCATTTAACATGGCGCGTCTTTGATTGACGTCAGCCCGCGTGCTGCTGCTCTACCAGGAGCAGTTGTGCATAGGATATGTCAGGCAGCAGGCAATTGCCAGGAATATAGCTGAGACAGAGTGCAATTCTCAAAGCCAACCCGAACAATGACAGCGACAGCAATGTAAAGTAAAGCTTAGCTTCCGCTTCCCCCATCCCACACCACACAGCTGATACACTTATTGTGCGTTGGCCCGCTAAGACATCGTCACAGCTGCTGGCCTGTGGTGGTGGGTCAATCAATCACTGGGTTCATTGGCTATTCATGAATACACTTGCATATGCTTAGCGACGATGGTGTGTGATACAGCCACTGATACAGCCATGATTGGGCTCATCATTGGGCGTTGCAACACAAGACAAAATACAGTCGCGTCTCTCTGTTAAATAAATCAAAAGATAAGGTAATTAAACTCGCATTTCGTCTAATAAACAAATCACGTAATATCCTCCCCATCATACCATTCCATATATCACATTGGGGGGGTTCACCAAAAACAATCAAGACTTCACCCTCACCCCCTAGCCAAAAAGCCAAAGCCAAAGCCGAAAAGAAACGCCAGCGTAAACGAAACCCTAAAGAAAATCGGCAAAGATTCATGCGAATTTGATGTCCGGCGATTCGAGAGCGTTTGGCAAGTCATTTGCCAACACGTGTACCCACAGAGGAGAGCATTTATGTATGTATATACTTTTACTTTTGCCCGGTCCACACGCTATGCAGAAAGCCACAAAATCATGCCAAGCAAATTTAATTAAATTAAACGCAGCCGAAACGAGCAGCTCCACTGAAGTGGGTAAGAGCGGATGGGATGGGATGGGATGGGATAGGAAAGGCCAAGTCAACGTTTTCACGGTCCCATAAGATATGAAACAAAACGAGACGCGACGCAGCTCTCAAATGAAGCGAAGAAAGAGTTGGCACTTTAATTATGACACAAATTTTGCGTGAGGCATAGTCAAATGATGCCCCAAGCAAACGAACGCTCAAGAGGCACTGGCAGACATATAAACAAACAGGAAACAAAGACCAGCTGCACGGATCGAAGCACTAGATACCCTAGCTGCCGTATAGTAATAATAAATAGTATAAACAGAGGATGTTCAATCATTTCTATGCATCTTAATCCATATGAGCCTCGAGTTTCGTTGGAAAACAAACATTTGTCTGAGACCAAAATACCCCCTACTCTAGCATATTAATGAGCAAATAGACAGGCAGAGACAAAGCGTTTACCGAAAGGGAAAAAGAAATTATGAAATGTTCAAACTGTTGCAACGACGAATCAAAGCCAGTCGGAGAAACAAGTTTTCGAATGATCTTCTTCGCGCGTCCAGTGGCGTCCAACTGCCTTTTGCTGCTGCCTGCCCTGCCACAACTCATTTAGCTGCGAGTCGGCGAACCGCAAACAACACGAAAACTGCTCCAAAAAAGTGCCATTCAAAGATGACTTACAAGCTGTGGCTGCTACTGTCAGTGGTAGGCAACTTACCAACGAATAGAATCGCTTTTCGTGTGTGCCACACTATTAACAACATTTTATTTACCATAGTTGGCGCTGGCCGAATCGGTGAGGTCGCAGGAATATCATTACCAGCGCCCCCAGGTACCCTTCCGCGAGGTGTCAACGCGCCATCAGCAGCCTGTCCGGTATGTGGTCCAAACCCTGGGGCCTAACAGCCGCACCTATCATCTGGAATCGCATCTGGCTCCGGCCATCTATGAGAACCACCAGACAGTGCATGTGAGCGGACAGAGGGGACAGCAGAGTAAACTGGGAGGATATGGATACCAGGGCGCACAGCAACAGCAGCAACAATATGTGGCACCGCAGCAGCAGGTGCAGTATGTGGCACCTCAGCGGGTGCAGCAGCCACAGCTGCAATATTCGACCTTCTCCAACCCTCTGCTGGGCAGCGGTAGCTATCAGCAATACTCTTCAGCCTTGGCAGCTCCGCTCACTACACAAGCCCTGACTCCACCAGCACCACCACCCGGCTACTACCAGCCTCAAGCTCAGGCGCAGGCTCAGACCCAAGTGCAGTCACAGTCCAGCGGCCAGTACGGAGCACCACAGCCGCAGAACCCGGGGCCACAGCGTCACTACTTCGCCAACCCCCATCCTTATGCATTGGTCACACTGCCCACGGGGCAGCAGGTGCTGGATGCAGGCCATGGCTCCGGCGTGCCGCCCACAGCGGTGCTGAACAAACTCCTGACCAGCACGGGTCTCGCCGAGCCAGCGCCGAGAAAGGGCAACCACGTGGCCCAGTCGGAGAGCGCCTCGCTGGACTACTACGACCACAAGCAGACGACAGCCGGGGACACCAGGGAGTACCAGCGATACGTGACCAACTGCCAGCCCAACGGACAGTGTCAGCAGCAGGTGCTCAGTCCGGGCCAAGTGGATCCGGAGCACAAGCAGCTGCTGCAGGACATACGCGCCGTGGCCCATGCTCATATCGAGGGCTGCACCAAGAGTCCAGCCCTCTATGTGCCCCCGGGCACCGCGATGAATAGTCAGGGACAGCTGAGGCCCAGGAACAGGCGCACATACGAGCGGAGGGAGGAGCTGATCGAGCGGCACCCCTATAACTAAACACTGGCCCAGTGTCGCATTTAGATTTAATAGTTGTTGAATTAGATTTTTCAATGTAAATATAACCGATTGCCTGATTTGTTTAAACAGCCCAAAGGTAGACAATGGTTTGGGGGAGCGATCTCCAGCTGATTGAGAAATGTTATTAATTAACCGGTTGGCTGTTGCCTCATCTCTCCGCCTGTTGCTTATTTATACGCGACATCCATTCGCATGTCTGACGTATGCTAATCACCCATAAAAAATTAATAGTGGCTCAATGCACTGCGCGAATTTATGGAAGATTGTTTGGCCAACTAATCACAAGATATGTTAAATGGGCATGGGAGAAGACATAAAACTGAGAAATGCAATAGATTTATGATTTATAGAAAAGATAAATAGCTAAAATATCTTGCCTGCATTCGTCTTAGTTTACTTAAATCTGTTCACAGGAAGTGACCAATAAAACCCATTTATATTTATGAAACTGAAATCATGCAACCTACTTTTTATTATGCCCTAAAATATAATTATATATTTTTTGAATCAGCCAAACGATGTGTGAGTTAATGATTTTCCAGCCATCAGACCATCAGGAAAATGTTCTCAGTCAGTGAACAAGAATATTAATAGTACATTAAATTGATATTTAGTTATAGTGGAGTTTAGAGGGAGATGTCAGTTGGGGTTAGATCATTCCTGAATCAAAATGCGAGTTCCTTATAGTGCTTGGATGGTGCCATTTATTCTTGCCTATTGTGTGACGCAGGTAACTTCAATAATATCGAATATCACTTGGCTGTAACTTTAGTATTGTGCATCGCCAGATATATGCCCTGTTCGAGTTCACCAACATCAAGTGCAACTCACTTGACAAGCAGTTCGCCGAGTTCGAAAACTGTCACATCAAGGCTGTGAATCGCAGCTACAAGTACTTGGCCGTGAAGGTCGCCATGCATCAGCTACCCGTTGTCAATGCATCGGTAAGTTAACTAACTATTAATGGATTATAGTGCCCAAGTTCTACACATATATTTTTAGGCAAGTCTGCAAGTTTTAAGGCGCTTCAAGGGCTTCATACCGATCACCATGAACGTCACCTTCGATGTGTGCAAGTACATGTATAAAAAAAAGAGCCAGAACCCTATGATGAACTTTATTGACTCAGTGTTGAAGAGCTACTCGAATGCCTATCACCAGTGTCCGTACGATGTGAGTTCTATCCATAATTATAACACTTTTGAGCACATATTCAATGAGTTATTCCTTGCAGCACGACATTTCTGTGGACCATCTGCCCACGCAGTTTGTGAACACGCACTTCACCGATGTGTTGCCTTTTCCCCAAGGGTGACTATGCCTTCAACAGCACATGGTTTGCCAATGGCATGAAGCGCGCAACTGTCTGGGTCTACGGAACTTTTTCCTAAGCTCTAATTATCACCCCGAATAAAGTTTGCGGCACTAAGAAAGCTAAAAAAAATATCTGGATCATAATGCATAGCCCCACGATTAAATATCCAATGTTTTTCGCAGTGATTTCTCTAGAATTTAATGCTCTATTCCAGCTGCTTACTCAAACACTTTTCAATCTAAGTATGCTAATCAAATCGGTAAATCCAGCTGAGAAAAACACAGTGAAACCGGTTGCTCTCAGTGCCCTCTCTGCACTGTGGCATAATGCGTGGAGTAATAGCCAAGATTTCATAATCAGTTCTAAGGGCAGGCCAACATTAGTCAGCAGATGGAAGCTGGAAACCCAAAGTTAGTCTGTGCGTGGACCCCGAAGCGAGACAATCACAATCCAGCGATGAAGATGAGTTTGCTGCCTACTCTGCTGGTAAACTCAGTTCAGAATACGGAATGCGGGGCACAGAACTCGTTTCCCCAATGACAATGACGTCAAATGCCTAACCAATCTCATGTCTCATAGATGGTAGTGCTAGGTGTGATGTGGGCCCACGCTGCCATCAACCCAGAAGCTGGCTATCCGTACGAGAGACCGAGTGAGGAGCTCCAGCTGCTGACAGAGGAGCCTCATCCCAGGGAGCAACGTCTCAAGGTGCGTGCGGGCGGAGTGGTGGTGATGCCTGGCCAGCGGCGACAGCTGTCCGCACGCCACAAATGCCATAACAACAAAGACGGCAGTGCGGAGGTGGAGGCGCAGGCGGAGGCTGCTGCTCTGGCCAGATACCATGCGGCGCGTCCCCCGCCGCGTCGCCTGTCGAGGCACAAGGAAGTCCAGGTGGACAGTGAGTTCTTTGAGCCCTCGCCGGAACGGGTCGAGGAGCTCAAGCGAATTCTGCTCGACCAGCAATAAAATGAAATGCTCCAGGAAATTCCTCGTGTTTGATTTGTTGTTCCTCGGGTCGGATTTGGTCATTAAGCGAATTGCTAATGGCAGGGGCAATTAGACAAATTGTGCCGGACCATTAGGCGGTGGCGAGATCCAGAAACCAATGGCTGGCCCATCACCGAAGCGTAAAATACTCTATATATATGGCAGCAGTTATTTCTTCTTTGGTCTTCTGAAATGTGAGTGGGATCTGGTGTGTTCCAACCTCATCGTCATACCCGCTCTAGGGTGTGGGATCTGGTGTGTTCCAACCTCATCGTCATACCCGCTCTAGGGTGGTATCAAAACTTGCTCTGACCGCATTCCTTCAACGAGACGCAGCCAAAATTGGCAAACAAAAATAACCAAATGCAGTTTACAATAAATAAATAATTTATTTTGGCGCTTAACAAAGAGAAAACAAAAAAAACAGCAACAATTTCATAAACAGTCGAGCCATAAAAGTGGCCCTCGGTTCCGATTCCGATTCCAATTCAGAGCCATCAATCTAGGCATCGTGCTTGTACTTCTTGTTCTCGCCGGGATTGAGGCTGTAGAGATCGTAGTCGAACTGGTCCCACTCCTGGTAGTCGGCTCCACGGGGCTGGGTGCTGCCCTTCTTCAGCTTGAGCAGTGACTTCTTCTCGCGTCCAATGTCCACCGACGGCACCTGCTGGCGGATGCGTCGCTCGGCCGCCGAAAGGGGCTGTGGTGGCCTGACGACTGTGCTGTCCAAAAACTGGGACTCCTCCATGCCCAAGTCGGCGCCCGGGCTCACCTGGGCGTCGTAGAAGTTGGCAAAGTTCTGCAGCTGCATCGACGCCGATGGATTGTGATCGTAGTAGTCGGGCATGATGAGGTTATAGTTCCCTGTCAGTGTCATGGGCTCCTGGGGCCGGGGGGCATAGGCGAAGCTGTTGAGACTCGCCGCGGGTCGAAGATCTCCGCGCCGACTGTAGCGGGGCAGGGCTTCGGTGAGGGTCAGCACCAGGCCCAGGCAGCAATAGCCGAGCATTATCTGGGGGAATAGAACTGTCAGGATCTGTCTGCAGCTGGTGCTGGCTGTGTGTGTGTGCGCTTACCATTTGCGTGGGATTTGTGATGGCCATTGTAAACTTATTGGGACTTGAGTTTTTTATAGGGGTTATATAATTTAATTCTGTTAATATTTGTGTATTAAAGTGGATTGCACTGCTGCTGGTTTTATGTCCAGTCAATGTTCCTGGGGGCTGTGCTTAATTCGAGCTCTTAAACCTGTCTAATGTTCTGAGCTCGACGATTTTGTATTTAAAGCAAATTTCGGGCGAAAGCCAAAAGCCGAAAGAATTTCATTTCACTTCGTTTCGTTGCGTTTTTGTTTTGTTTGATTTGTTTGGGATCTCCCGAAGCCGGTTTCGAAACTTTTGATTTCCAGCAGAGCGTCAAGCGAATCCGCTGCCCCTGGAGAGGCTGGGAGAGACTGTCACTTGGAGTGAGTGACACACGCAGCAGCGTCAGTCCAGGTCAGGCACATCCACATCTCTCCCTGGCTGGAGAGAAGAGCAGCGAGCAGCGAGCAGTCAGCCGCCAGCAGCACAGGTCAGGAACATCTCCAGCCAGAATGGGATGGCAGCAGCAGGAGACGGGATGGGGGACGGGGGAGTACAGTGATTGCGTCAACAAAAGAAATGCAAATTCCTTAACAGACAGACGTATTCGCTTCTGGATTGCATTTCATCGACTGGACTATGGGACTGGAGCCCTTGTTTTGACACACATTTGATTGGGCTGATTCATGGGCATCTGCTGGAGTGTGTGGGGCAATTAATCCAAATTAAACGCTAATAAAAATATTAATTGCCCTGCCATTGTACCAGTGAACTTGGGTTGCCTGCGTTGCCAGTGTTGCCAGTGCCTTGTGTAATTAAGCAGTCGATTTGGGCATGGAACATGTTAATCGGCATATTACAAATTGGCACATCAATCACTCCGCTTTATTGGCTTCCAATGATCGGACATTTCAACTTCTGTCATTTGATTGTCACTCGAACCACTGATAATCCCAATCCTGCGCAGGTTCAATAACACTTCCCCCTTCAGGGAAATTCCCAGGCCTTACCTCAACTGATCTCAGTTGGGCGATAAGATGGGAGGAGATCGTTCCCACTCAGATGAGATCCAAACTGGTAGCGGGGGATAAGCCCGAAACCCGAAAATGGGAACACACATTAAAGTGGGGCCTTTTAACGATCACTTAAGATACGACTTGGGGAAATCTAAGCCAGCCCAGTAGCTGCAGAACTCTCTTAAATTATACCCATCACAGATATTAGAGTATGTGTACAGGTGGGTTCAATTCTGAACCAGTATTTATGGCATCATGTGCTATGCTACTTTTCTGTGAAAACACATCTTGGAATTCAGGCTTTTGCTGTTAATAAGATTTTATCTTCCCACCTGGTTTTTTCCAAACATTTTAAACGCTAAAAACTCCCATAAATCCCATAAATAAGACACAAATTCCGCAATATTTCAAGTGTTCTCAAATACTTCGCTCTAAACTTATTTTTGTGCAGCCAATAGGCCGAATCTTGGCTCATTTGGTCAAGAATTTTATCACATGATTATTAGAGCAATAAATCAAGTCGCTCTACGAAAAAGATGAATGCCAGAAGAGACAAATTTGAGCAAATATTTAAGGCTTAGCTTGGACAGTCGCTCGGGTTTAACCAGACCTTATTTACAGCTTTGAATCTGAAGTTTTATATATCCAGCTGTTCAGATATAAATTACGAGTATAATGGAATGTCGATGGGAGCATGAAAAAGCGAGTGCTTGGACAGCAGGCTGCCACCCCCTCAACAAAAATGAAGGCATAAATAAGTTTTAGTGTCCCGGAAAAACCCGCTCCCTCATCGCTCCCACCCCACCGCGTACCGCTGTCCAGATTCCTCTGGCATTTCTCGCATATTTTTTGGGTAACAATTTCCCAAATTCAGAACTCATTTGGCATTGTTTTAAGCACTTACTCGAACGTTTCGTTTCGTTTAATTTGTTTGTGATTTGTATTTTGCATATGAATATTTACAACTTTTATTGCTTTATTTTTTGTACATTTTCGTTTTGTTTTGTTTTGCTTTATTTTTATATTTGTGTTTTCCCTTTTGTGTGTAAATTGGCCCGTTTTTAATTTTTGTTGTTTGGGTTTTTTTTTTCGCTTTTTTGGGCACATGTTTTTCGAGATCAAAGACATGTTTTGGAGCAGGCAGAGAAAATAAATGTTTTCGTATTTGCTGGGAATTTACGTCGGAATACAATCCAAAAGAGATATCTGTAGGGAAGAGAGGGAGAGGGAGAGGGAGAGGGACAGAGACAGGAGCTTCAACAATTTTTTACTTTAGCTAAAGCCTTGCATAAAATTTCAATTATTTCGTTGGGCCCCCGCTGGACTGTTTGAGCTCAACTATTTGCCGAAGCCCAGCCCCAGACAGGCCGCAGCGGCAACGGAGAGGATGATCGACTCGAAAGCCTCAAAGCAACGTGCCCCAAAATACAACCGCAAAATTACTTACCCGCCAGACGTGCAGGCGGTCCCCGGCCACGTTGCCCTGCGGTTGCCTAGACAAATGTTTCATGCCTCTATGGGTGGCTGGTGCAACCCCCAAACCAAGGCAAACCAAGGCAAATCAAGGCAGGGCAAACGAGCCAAAACCAGGGGAAGTGTCGTCTCATTATCGATGTAGGAGCAGGCAGGCCCCATGCCAAGCAAATGGAAATCGCATTAAATCTAATATGCAACTCGACCGCAACAAACTCCGCTCCGCTCCGCACATGGGCCCCAGCCCCCCCCAACCCCCATTTGGCCACTGGTTAGTGGCAGGCAGTGGTCATTGTGTGTCTGTCTGTCTCGGCCAGAGACACGAGCTTCAAGTTTATGATGCGAGCAGTTCAATAAGTTTCAACTCAGCTGTGATGTGAGTTTACTCTTTCTGCCCAGTCAGTCATAATTTATTATATGAAGCACTTTGGGTTTATTTTTGTTGAAGAGTATGTCATGTTTAATTATGTTTACACAGAACAGTACGAATTTGGGAACTGCAACTAATGTAGAACGTAGACTAGCACGGGAACCGTTACCGCTTGCCTGGTGACGATGCTCTCGATGCTGGCCACGAGATATTCCCAGAAGGCGATGAGCAGATCTCCGTACATGCGCCAGCAGGCCAGTGGGGGTTGCTGGAACCTACCGAGCGTGTTCTGCATGACCAGGCCATTGGCGGCAAAGTTGGCGATCAGCAATGCCACATACAGGCCAATCACGAACGATACAAATGAGCGCGAGGCCGTGGGATGTTCTGTTGCCTCGTTCCACTTCGCGATGGCAATGACAGTCAGGATGGTGATGGGCAACGCTGCCATCACCATGAACAGATTTAACCTGAAGGTGAGACCCACCACGGCAGCGTAGTTGGCACTAAAGAAGAGCGAGTCAACGCTTATGCTTATGCTCATCAGTGGCCGGAGAAAGGAGGCCAGCATCAACAAATAGAGCAGCAGGAACACCACCAAGTGGTAAGGTCTTGGGTCCATCTGCGGAATGAATGTAATGAGAAAATAAGACAAACAGAATTAAAGGCAAGATCACAGATCCCTAGAGGCAGTGAGACATGTGACCCTTGGTTATCTTTTGCTAGCATTCGCCTGCCCCTCTATCAGCTCTTACTTAGCCCAGCCTTACCCAACCAGTACCCAGGCATACCCATCAATCCTATTTCAGCTAGTGGCAAGCAGATATCTTGCAACTGGTCTACTGCAAACCCTAATTAATGTGCACTTTCATAGACAAGGCGTTCCCATTCCCATTGCTTGTGCCATCCATCAATCCAAATATACTTCAATTAACTGCACAGCCTCAGTCGAATCTTCCATGCCAGACTCCCGTGGCCGGTTGGCCAACTCATCGAAGCCTTTTGCAATTACTTAACATATACGAAATGTCATCAGAAATGCAGAAACGCACTCACACTGACACTCTTACTCTCACTCATGCAATCGGAGGCAGACGGATGAGAGTACTCTTCGTACGAGTAATAACCTCATAATATGGGTCATTAGCGCAGTCGGTACAAGTGTTGGGGGCCTTGGGTAGCCGCGCCCACTCTGCCGGCCATTAATTACTTGCATTTCCATCGATGCCTCTTAATCTTCACACTTGCCAAAGACCGAAAGAAACAACAACAGCCATGGACAGCGTGCAGCCCAGCAAAAATTAAAATGAAAAGCAGCAAGCAGCTGAAATTCAAGAGACAGCGGGAGAAAGAGAGGGAGGAAATCGAGAAAAAGCAACGCAACACCACAAAGCAATAAAGCATAATTAATTGAAAAGTTTTGAACAACAGCTCGGAGTACTTTGATGTCAGTTGTGGAAATGAGCAGAAAAAAAGCTGAGCATGGAAATGGAAATGTTTAAAAATGGGCAAAAAGCGTACACAATGCTAAAAATCTTGGGGACAACAAACCAGTCGAAATAAATCAATGCAAAGCCGCCCCTGACAATGCCAGCTAATTGCGAAATGATTAAGCGAAAGCGACCAAATTCAAAATTCATTTCCATGGAATATGCATGAGTGTATGAGTGTGTGTGGGTGTGTTTTTGGGTGTGTGAGTGTGTGTGAGGGGAGGATAGTAAATTTGATTGAGTGTGTGTGCTCGGACCGCCCGTTGACAGCAATAAATCAGCAGGTGTAATGAGTCAAAGTTATCGCTGTGCACGGATCATTAATCACACGCATAACAAATTAAGAGTACATTATTCCAGTGGCACACATACAAGCACACCCACACGCATGTTTTTGCAGCTATGCGAAAAGCTCTGCATACTTTCAGGCGTTGGCATTATGGTAATTGGCCAAATAACGATGCAACCTCCGATATTAGCAGAATGACCCGAAATTGGCTGGCTGTATCGCTGCACAACTTCAGCTCTTTGAATGGAAATAAATCCAACTGCAAGTGCTGATAAAATTCCGAGCATATGAATGTCCAATACTCCAGTGCATAACTTTCAAAGTAGCCATGACCGTGAGCGTGCATTTTCAGCTTGGAAACCCCCAAAAACTGAACTTGCAATCTTGTTAGATGAACACTGGAGTCCTTACGCCAGGCGATGCTCGCTCGCCGACTCTGTTTACCCGCTCGCTAATTGTAAATGCCAATCAGGGTGGTGTGCCCGGGACCAGCTGACAAGACAAAGCCAACTGTCGGCTCGAGCCTGAGCTGAACTGAACTGAACTGAACTCAGCCGAATGGAGTGCGGCTGAGTGCTGGGGGATTGGCTGTCTGAAGCTGCGATGTGGCAAGGTTGGAATGGAATGGAATGGAGTAGAATGGGGCTGTGCAGGAGCTAGCTGATTGCTCCAATTGCCAGGCGCCCGGGCACGCACGACTGCCTCATACAAACTTGCAACTAAACAAGAGCAGCAGAGGCAACAACAATTGGGACAACAACAGCAGTGGCAGTGGCAGCGGCAGCAGCAGCAGCAGCAGCAGCAGCAGCAGCATCAGCCACTGTCAACGCACAAAGACAGCAGTCGGAGCTGACGTAACGAAACGGTTAATTTAGACTACGACAGGGGAAAACAACAAACGAAGGCAGTTCAAAAGCCGTCAGCGCGAGATGAGATGAGCTTGCAGATGGCTACAAAGAGAACACCCAGAAGAAGGACCAGTAGCAGCAGCCAGCAGTAGCAGCTTTGTCCCATTTGCATAGGGGCGTGTATGGAGACCAGGATCTGCAATTACAGCACCCTTGGATGGGGGGATGGGTCTTACCCTGGAGATTGGAGACAAAATGGGGTTCAGCTGGGGCTAAACAAAAAAAAGGGGGGTGCGGAATGGGGTTGGATTTGTTGCCATATAAAACATTTTTTAGTGTTCCGAGCATTGTGATGCTGGCGAATGCTTAGAATTTAATTAGCGACGCTCCCTGATTAGGCGTGCATGAAATTAGAGACCCATAAAATGTCTACCAAAGTGGCAATGTCAACAAGAACCCCCCAGAGCCAGGACCGTCACCAGAACACAAGCCGAGGCGTCGTATTTAAGAGGGACACGTCAACAAGGAAACAAGAACCAGGACCAGGACTCGGATATGCTTGAGGTACTCACCATTCGTCCAATTAACCAGCGAGAATCTAAATCCAGTGGCTGGAACGCCTTTCAGTTTAACTGCAATTGCAATTTCGAATAAGCCATATAAGCCATTTTAGAGTACTGTTTGAATTTTGTTGAAGTAAAATAATGTGGTTGCTGTGTGGATTGAAATATATGTTCCAATATATCAAATAACCTTTGTCTGAAGTATTTCTTAAGCTCCACACATTTTACTAGTAGATTACGATATTATTTGAACATCCATTCTTTTGAAATACTTTTTCTAATCTTAGCTTGAAAAATTCCTGTAAATCCTCCCAGACACCTCTTCAGTTTGAGCAGCATTCCCAGACTCTAACTCGCCCCTACAGCACCGACTGCAGACTATTCGTGTCGTCAACTTGTAGCAATCATCGTGGTGCGTGGTGGCAACGCCTGCCCGTCCGCCTCGCTCGGCGTTGACACAAAACAATGGGCAACACTTCAGCACTTTCATTTTCCTGCTCGAACACTTGCCGCGGCACTCAGCCGCAGACTCAACGCATTGCCACATACATTTTGTGGATTTTTATTTATTATTTTTCTCCTTTTTGCTGCTGTTTCTGTTGCTGTGGCTGTTGTGGCAACTCACTCGCCATCGCCATCGCCATCGCACGAGGCAGAACAATTTGCGAGTCGCACTCAGCATGAAGTGTTCTGTGCGGTTTTTCGTACTTTATGTTTTATATATTTTTAGAAATTGTTTTTAGTTGCATGTTTTACTTTTACGCTGACGCTCTGTGACAGCTTGGACAGGCTGGGCTCGCAAGGGATGCGATGGGATTAGAATCTGGAGTGGTGCAGAGCCACGACGACAGATAAGTCACATATTGTTCACGAAGCTTGTGTTTATGGCAACAGGCATACAAGAACGATCTCCTAGAGTGGGGTAAATGGTGGGCAGTAATCTGCTTGGCTAACTCAGTCATAAAAGAGAACAATTAGAGTGTTTCGATTATTTGTTTCACACCTTCACCTACTACAATCCCATTTAGTAGCATCGTTCAACGAACGAAATGATTATAATCCACACCAGACCCTCCCCCTAAGTCAACTCTTCTGTATTTCCGCTTAGTCTGCCACAGATGCAGTTGTCATTTAGATGAAAATTGCATGAGCGCACATGCATGCTCATACGCTCACATGCACTCATGCAGGGGCACACGTGGAAGCGGGACAGCCCGGAAGCATGCAACACTTTCTTTACTGTCTATGCGCATCTTTATTAATTATGCCAGCGATTTAATTAAAAACTTAACCAGCTGTCGCCTTAAGCACAGAGGCACTCAACAGCGGGGTCGTCTCATAGCTGGGACAGGGCATGTTCATGCCACTGGTAGTGGTAGTGGGGTTGGGGGTGGGGCTGAGGACGGGGCCTACAGCCGATGGATAGCTGCAACTTGCTGGCGCTGCAGTTGCCGTGGATGGGGATGAGCTAATTAAAATGCATTGTTTAATGCAAATAATGGATTATAGTTGGTAGTTTTCAGTGTTCAGTTCAGTGTTTACTTACACCGGCTGAGTGCCAGCAGGCCTCGAGTGCGGCATGCTGGCAACGGGATCGAGTGATGGCAGTCCGGGTGGGAGTCTGTCGAAGGATGTGGCAATGTAGGCGGATGTTGGCGCCTGAACGGCTGCCACAGGCGGCGCCTTAACGATTTTTGGCTCGGTTTCTGGATATTGATATTGTTGTTGTTGCTGCTGCTGCTGCTGTTGAGCCTGAATTGGCTTTGGCGCTCTGAATAGCTGCTGGCCCTGTTGTTGCGATGCAGGATGCACATTGACGCCATTGAACCCTGGCAATATTTGAGGTTGTTGACTCGTTTGCCCCGCGGTCTGAGAGTTTTCATAAACAAAAAAGTGTTGCTGCTGTTGCTGTGGCTGTTGTTGCTGTGGCTGTGGCTGTGCTTGCTGCTGCTGTTGCTGTGGTTGCTGTTGCTTTTGCTGCGGTTGATTGGTGGCTGTGTTGCCTGCCTGTTGGCCCTGCCAATTTGGCCCACTTTGGCCCAGTAATTCCAGCAACAATGGCGCCAACGCTTCGCTGCCCGTGATTTCCTGGAGATGCTGATGCAGCCTATCCGGCTCTATCATCTGTGAGGGAAGGCGCTGAATGGTCAAACCCTGAGGCCTCCGGTCCGTGGCACCTCCCACGCGGTTAGAGTAAATCAAACTGCAAGTAAATACATAGTTTGCTCAATAGATTGACCCGCTCCACACAGAGAGACACACACAGAGAGAGAGACTTAGCTGCGACCTACTTTGTCAACTGCTGTTCAAACATTTGCCCCCCGGCCAGGCAGAACCAGAGACAGCCCACGGCCAAGTGGGGCAGAACGAGCCAATTTGAATACATATTTAAAGGCTTATTAGTGCCCGACCTGGAACCTTCCACTTCAAACTCCAGCTAGAAACTAAAAGCCCCAAATCCGGCATTAACTCAACACACACATCCGAAATTCTCCGGAGCCATGGATTCTCATTAAGAATGTCAGAGAGATGGAGAATAGCGATAGAGAGACGGAGCGGAGCGACAGAGTCCAATTTTGTGCTGTTTATATTTTGGCATTTCATTAGGTTTCCTGTTTTCTGGCATTAATTATTGGGGCTAATTATATATGCACATTAATATGCAAATATTATGGAGTGTGAACATTTTGATATGCAACATGCGATGGCCAAATTACCACACAGAGTTCTCAATCCGAGCCAGAGATCGGCACTGGAGTCGAGTGAGTTGAAATTTAAGTTGCCGAAGAAACATCTGCGAGAAGTTGACCCTGAAATAAATAAGTATAAATACGAGTATTTGTTTTGCTGGGGCATACAAGAGAGTTGGGTGGCAAGTTTGGAGGCAAACTGAAAACTCCTTTAGAATATAAGCAACGTCTTTGCTAATTGCATTTTACCTTAAAAATTATTTAAATTAAATTGAATATTGTTTAAATATCATTGGAATATTGGAATCATATACATGCATACATATGTACATAAATACATACCTACTTACATTACTGTTCATATCTATCGTTCAATTATACTCAACCCTAAGCAATATAATATAATAATATAATTTCAAATAATAAATAATATAATAAATAAATAAATAATAATATATAATAATATAAGCAACGTCTTTGCTAATTACTTTTTGCCATACAAAATATTAAAATTAAAATCAAATTATTTTAATATCATTGGAATATACATACATACATATATGTACATACATGCCTATTAACATTACTTTTCATATCTATCGTTCAATTATGCTCAACGCTAAGACTAAGCCAAACCCCTCACCCATGGCTGTCTTTCAAACTGTCACATGTGAGTCGCTAGCTTTAATAAATCCCAGCTGAAAGCTGACCCAAGCCATGGCCATGGCAATGGCTGTCAAACTGTAAAGTGACACTCAGCTATGGGGGATAGCAGCATATGCCCCTCCCTCGTCACCAGCCCCCTCCCTCGGTATATGTGGGGCAAAATGTTTTTCCATTAAATTACAAGCTGGCTGTCTACTCCATCGCTCCCCACCCTTCGCTGTCGCCATCAGCATCACTAGCCCCTTCGTCTGCGTGTTGGCCCGACCAGCAGAGTCATGAAATTTAGTGTTGGCGGCATAATTAGACCATCAATTGCGGAAAACTCATGACAGTCATGAATGGGCGTTTCCCGTGTGTGTGTGTGTGTGTTTGTGTGTGTGTGGGGCATAACCACAGGACAGTGGCTAGGGAGGTTCTGGGATAAAGTAATATGGCCCCCAAGCATAAACTCATCAGCGCCGGAAATGCTGACAGCGATGAGGACGAACCGAGCCACAAAGGCAACAGAGCCACCAAAGGCGGTCAGGCCAGAATGTTGACGTTGGCCGAGACTGTTGCTCCAGCACTACGAGTACAACAACAAAGACCAACCACAATGGCTTAAATAAAGTGAAAATGTAAGGGACAAATGCTGCTTTCGTCGCTCATAAATATTCACTTGAATATATATTTCTGGTCTACCCATAGAGGAGGACGACTAGGAGTAGGAGTAGCAGTACGTATGGTATGGGGCGTATGGCTGGACGCTTTCATTTTCAGCTGCTTTCGGTTTGGGGGCGCCAAAGTGTAAAACTGTTTGAGAGTGCATATTTTTATGACGATTTTTCGGCGACTGTGCTGGCCAGCCGAGTGTGAAAGTTAAGCACATAAATTACATGTGAGCCATCGCCGGGTCCTGCGAGAGGAATTAGGCGAGGAGCGACAAAAGCCCAGAAAACACTTAGAATATGGCAACAACCGCTCGCTGGGGGCGGACCACCCACCCACTCCTCTGCTGCCATGAAGTGCGGCTCGGCTCGGTGGCGCTTTTTAGTAAAATTACACGCTCTAATCCACAACTTTTGAGTGGGCATCATCAACCACAACCACCAGCATCACCGCCACCACCGTCCACCGTCCCACCAACATCACCTACACAACCACCGAAAAAAAAAAAGAAAAAGACGCTGAGAGCAACTTCTCCACGAGTGTGTGTGTGGGGCGAGATGAAAGGCGACAGCCGTGGGCATCAAGGGCTACAAGAATGCGCCAGACAGCGGCAAAGACCTAAACGCAAAACAAGCAAATCACACACATATGCATACACACACGCATACATATGTGTATGTACATTCGCACACAAGCTGCGCCTGAAAGTATGCAAAACATAATTCATGCTGATGAAATTGTATGCATGAATATATGAGAGGAGTGCTGCTGCTCCCCCACTGCCCCACTCGCTCTCATCCACCTACCAGACCTTCCGACCAGGGCTGGCTAAAAATCATATGCATCACGTGATTAAACGCGTCATGCATGAAAATGTAAAATATTGTGCAACCACATACGAGTACATGTGCCCCCCAGACAGACAGACAGACAGAGACTGAACCATACGGAGAGCAAGGGTGAGATGATGATGGCTAAAAAATATACCAATTCGTACTTCAGCTTGTCGAAGGTTATATGCCCTTACAGGGTTATCTAACGATTGATTTTTAATGCGATTGTACCCCATGAAGCAGCTGCAATTTCTTATCCAAGCAGGACATTGTTCCAAGTATCTTTGCGATAAATTCAAAACTGATAGACAGACATACAAGATACTGATCAAGAATACTTGAATGTGTATTATTAATGGTTTTAATTGTTTATTAAACCACTAACCAATTTAGTCAAAATTCCCATACCCACTTTTAGGGTATAGAAAAGGGAAAAAATTAGACCCTGCATATCATGTTTACTTGACTTGACTGGCAAGCAAAGTCAGGCGACGGCGACTGCGACTAGCAACTGAGTCTGGCATCCGTGACCAAAGCAAACGAGAGCAAACAAAACGCCTCGGTTACAAATTTTTCACAATTTTTCTCCCCTCCATTTAAATGGAGAGAAATGGCGAACGAGCTGAGCTGCTGATTCCTCCACTGACGGAGAATCCTGCCGTTGACGTAGATGAATCTGGGCAGCACGTGCTGGAGACGCCGCCAGACATTGGCTTGAACTTGGCCATAACCGAGCTGGAGCCAAACCCCCTACACACTCACACACTCACACACACACACACACCACTTTGGGGCGTGGCTCAGGCTGCATTGGGACCGGAAAATTGCAGTTTTGCGGCTTTAATCGGTTGGTTGCCAGGCGAATGCTGGATTGTGAATGTTAAATGAAGGTCAACGGCAACAGGCAAAAGTGAAATGAATATTCCATTCAAATGCTCACATTATTCATATGAATTGTGCGTCAAACGGTGGTTTGACTTTGTATCGTGAAAACGTTTTTTGTCAAAATAAATCAATTTAAATTGTAATAGATTTTTGTGAAATTATTCATAGCTGATTTGAGGCGAATATAGTGTAACAAATTAGGTGTACAGGCATTCAAGTAGTCCATTCCACTCACCTGCAGAACATTGTAGTCCTATCAGGATGTGTATAAATTTTGAGCTGTGGATTTCCAAAGGTTGAAGAACCAACCAAAAAGGTTGAAGAAGAACCACCTGCAAGTGAAAGGGAAATAAAAAACAAAATTATCACAGAACTTGCAGCATTTTCTAGACTAAAAAAAACTATTGCCAGCTAAATCACTTTCCAAATTCCAACTTGTCACACAAACAAACCGCTAGAGCAGCGCAATGCAAATGCAACTTTAAAGGGCATTCCCATCCCTCCTCCATGCAGTTTTAGCATATGGGAAACTCTTTTTTTTTTGTGGGAAAAAGACAAACTGGAGCATACTTTGTGGCGTGTCTGGGGGGTAAAATTTATTACTAGAACTTGTATATATCATTCAGAACAGAACTGGCGCCGCGCTCACTTTTCGAGAATTATGCCAGGCCGGAGCAACTAAAAGTTGCAGTTTAACTACTTTTCTACGACTTTTTCGCATTGCTGTGACCGGGGGAAAAAGAAGTCGAGTAAAATGCCGGAAAGAGCCTGAACTTTCTTCATTTGGTGCGGCACACTTTGTCGTAGTTGTGGCACTTGCCTCGCTTGATTATTTTAGTCGCTCCTTTAGTGCAGAGGCACCCGCTGCGCTGCTGCAGCAGCCTACAAACTGTGACAAATTCCCTCGGCTTTCTCCGGCCACGCCTGACACACATATTCCCATGGTTTTAGCATACTTCGGGTGCAGCGCAGTGCGGCCAGATTATTGCGGACACGTCGCAGCCACTCGCAGATAAAAGGCAAGAGAAGAGACAAAAACCACTGGGAACACTTTAGTGGAGCAGTCCGACATAAAAGTATCCTCTACTAAGTATCCTTTAAAAAGAGCTGAAAGTAGGGCAATGACAATTTTCTATGCGTTGCTGCAGAACCAGAACTATAACCGCTAATCCAGGCATCTTTATTGTGTTAGTTAGGGTGTAAAATGTACCTACTACTAACTAGTTTCTTTACCAGACATAAAAGCATCAACTCATGTATTCTCAGAGGAATATATTTATTTTACTTTACAAAAACTCGCAAAGTATATGGGGAAAAAATCAGAGAAAGGGCCTCCCACTCCCACAACCGAGTCCGAGCAGCCGAATGACATGTTTGGACAACCCACTTGCGTATTAGGAGCAGAGCAGCAACGGAGCAGCTGCCTCTTCATTAGGGACTCCATTGAAATTTAGCATGCCAAAGCAAGGCGATGCATACTTTAAGGCCATCTCGGACTGCAGCTCCTGGTGCCGGAGCAGGATGCAGGGGGTGCAGGGTGCAGAATGCAGAGAGATGCTTTCGAAAAAAAGAAAAACTTTGCTTTGCAGCAAATCAGCGAAAGCGCCAACAAACTATTAAAAACTTTTGCAGCAAGAAAAACTTGCAGGACCAAGACTTTCGCCTGCATCCTTCATCCTCCATCCTCAGTCTCTGTCTCAGCCTCAGCCTTGTTGCTGGTGATGGCATCCATATCTGACGAGTGCCAAAAAGCAAAAGTTTCCTTCTCCGGACCGATGCTGCTGCTGCTGCATACAATGTTTGTGCTGATTGCAGCTCGGCAAATGGCTTTTGATTTCACAAATCAAAACTTTCTTGTGAGCGAGCGCTGCGCACGTGATTTATGCCTGCGGCAGTGGCAGTGGCAGTGGAAGCTGGCGAGGATCGCCGGCGACATGCACGAGCGCCCCGCTGTAAAAACTTAGCCGGCCAACAGCAGAAGAGGGAAACCAAGAAATCCAAGACGCAATCCGGCCAGAAGTCCACACAAAGTTGCTCATTCTGTTTTGCAGCTTAATGCACATTTAGATTTCGCTCAGTGCGAGGCGAGGCAAGGCGAGGCGGGTGCATCCTAATGGCAGCCAAAAAAAAAAAAAAGGGAAGTGCAGGAAACTCTGCTCTAATGAAAACGGCATCCGCGTCCTAAACACTTTCCTCTAATTGCCACACCGCCAGCCAGGGCAGGGCAACTTCTCCTGTGAAATGAAAATAACATTGCATATCTTATGTGGCTGCTGGATCACCTGCATCTCTGAGTGGGTGCACACAGTGTGCATGGGTGTGTGTGTGTGTTTTGGCCAATTCATGTCTTAACGTCTGCAACTCATAAATAACATCAAATAATAGCCCCGTCTGCGGAGGGGATGCCGCGGCTCCTTCCTAATAAAGTGCCAGCAACAGGAACAGCAGCAGACCGAGTAACACCAGAACAACAACTGGCAAACAACAGCGCCACACTTGCAACAATTGGCAGCAGTAGCAACAGCATCAGCAACCGAGTTGCCATTGCAGTTTGCCAGCTGCCACTGCCACTGCCACACCCGCAGCACCGAAAAACTTTTGTGGTCGTGCATTCGCTTAGCGCTAAATGCAGCAGAGTTAACTCTTTATGTGAGCACAGCACAGGCACAGGCACACCCTGGTCACGTGATCGGACTCAAAACCCGAATGTACCCTGTAAAGGTAGAGGGGTGAGATATACACCTCACATCCAAAAAGCAGCTGCAAACATCCTCCATCTTCCGTCTCTCTACCCTGATGCCAGCGTACACCACTCTACCCTGGCTTAGTTTCGTTTTCTGCTCACTTATCAGGTGGCTGCGTAGCCGGCCAACAAATTTGGGCTAATTAGTTGGACTTAAACGCGGCTTATGTGCCGCCTAATGGCAGCTACGCTTGCAGTGCCAACCCCAAGCCCACACCCAAGCCGACTCAACCCCTTGCGAGCTGAAATGCTGCCACAAATGGTTAGCATACTTCTGGGCGGACGAGCATTTAATATATGTAATTGCAGTTACTGTGCTTCCCCAAAGAAGCACCAAAACAACCAAAGCAGCAGCAACAAAAACAAAACAAAAACATACTTTATAATGTTGCCAACAATTTTTGGGGAACCAACTCAGAAATTGTGCTACAGGATAGGGCTGATGCCGCTGCCTGACCTCGTTGGGTAGAAGGACACAAATTGTCAGTAGACCACAAAACACGCAAACATTAAGGCCACACTGGAACACCACCCACCCCACACACACACACACACACTGGGATATTGGTGTCGCACCGCTCTGGTCCCTTTGGCGGCTCATCTGTTTTGTCATGTCATTGAAGCGTAAATGAAACATTTGCGACGCTTGTTTAATTAAAATATATTTTAATTTAATCAAAATTTGTCTCGATGTGCCTGCGTGTGGCTATAACGACAGCAACCAACAAGCATTATGCCCGACACCGTTTTGCCATTTTACATTAAAATTGTTCGCATAGTTTTTCGGGTTTTAAAATGGTTTTTCTGCACCGTCGTTTACATCGTCCTCGCCCCTGGCAGCTGTCGCTTTACACGCTTTAAAATTCCAACAAAGTTTTGTAGTTGTTTTGTAGAAGTCGTCTTACGAACGCCCCCTTTTACCTTTCCCTGTCTCTGCGTCTCTGTCCCAGTCCTTGCACTCTCTCTCTCTGTCACGCTCTTGAGTGTCATGTTGTACAGGTGTCAATTGTGGGCGTGGCACTTAATTAAATCATTCTGTCGTCCCTTGATTAATTGTCACATAACAAACATTCTGTGGATTGCGTGTGAGCAGGGACAATGGCTGAACGCGGTTATGGAAAGACTAAGGGGGAATGGCGGGGGAAAGTCACTTATGTGACGGAAAAAGTGAAAACGTTGAAAACTTTTCACTTGTAGAGTAAGTCAATTTGTAGAGTCATGAATCATGAACGTTTTGAAGCAACTGAATTATTTCTTTCGAAGTTTTCGCCTAAACCCAAATTGTAGGTAATATTTTCATAATGTTATTTATAATAATATAATAATAATAATAATATATATATATAATAATAATATAATAATATATATATAATATTTTATTATACTTAGTTTGAGAGATAAAATTGCTCTAAAACGCATTCTAGTTGTTTATTTACAAAGTTTCCTCAACTTTATGATATGTACGCGTACATATGTAAAGTTTACACCTTTTAATGTATACTTTACACCATCCTTGGACTGAGGTTAGAGGTTGGCTAAAGCACTGAGCAATTCAATTAAATGCTCTGGCTTGCAGGAAAAGTTTTTCTAATTTAATTGGACGTTTTGTTTGCACAAGCCGCGAGTATTTTTCTGTGGCCATTGTTACCATGTAATTTGCCCAGAGCTTCGTTTTATTCGATTTAGAATGGGCTAAAGTGCAACCCTGCACCCATGACGTATGAGTGATATAAATATAATAAAAGGCGGCACCGAACGAACAGCAGCGCTAATTGCCAGAAATACTCGTAAATGCAATATAAGTTCGGCCTCGACAAATGTTATTACAATTATAATGGAAAGCAACACCAGCGGAAGGCTGCGATGTGCCATGAAAAATGCATATTTGGGCTTAACCGAAAAATAAACAAGGCCAACGCAGAACAGTGCAGGGGGGCTGGAAGCTGTGGGGGGTTGCCTGCACCGTGATGTGTGCAACAAAAATTCTTTCGCGCTTCGTTTCGTTTGGTTTTTGCATGCCACAGCGCGCGCTGAGCCGAAAAGTATGCAACAATAAATTCCACCATGACGCCAGCTTTTCATTTATTTCAAACCCCACCCACCCACCACACCCCATCACACCCACCAGCCAAATCCATCCACTCCGGTCTGACCCACCCCACGGAAAGTGGTAGAAAATAAATAAAATCAAGTACATTCTGTGCGCCAATTTTCTATCAATTTTCATGGAAACTTTCCATCGCCCCCGGGCCACCTAAAATATTTACAATTGTACATTTGTGTGGTCTGCTTGGTAGCCAGTTTGATGACCATCAAGCCAGGGCCTCTTGATCTTTTCTATATGTGCTATCTTCAGTTCTGGCCACTTTAGTTTATGGCCCCATAAATTCTGTTGCCCCCCCGTATGTGAGCATTTCGTTTGATGGCTTTTCTCCAATTGATTTTCAAGCCTTAGCCGTTGGGATCTCTGTTAGTTAACAGCTTGCACAACTGTACCACATGCATGCGATGAAATTTATGGCCGACCAATCGAAACAATTGCTTGACTTGTGCCCGATTGCATCTTTCTATGCACAAAAGGCTCGTTGTGACAGCATTCACGACTATCTTCCTGGCCAAGCTGCACCTGCATTTTACGGACTGTCAACTGCAACGTTGTTCTGTCCCGTTTATGTGCATTTTTTGAACTGCTCTCGCTCACACACTCCTTCTTGTGGGTTTCAGTATTTGCCGCTTGAGTATCTTCGGTTTGGGCTTGCTGGCATGCAAATACTCTCCTGCAGTCGAGATAAAGTTGATTTTTGATTTGCCAGCAGACCCACTGAGGCATGCGGCGACATGAAGCCATCCAAGTGCCCAACCGCTCAGAAACCGAATCTCTTGTTCAGTAATTACAAAAATACGATAAGACTGGGAGCAGCCAGTCAGTCAGTTGGAAAACGAATAAACGAATACTTGAATACCAATACAAATATTCATGGCCTGTTCTTGAGGGAACAATCAAAATATAATGGAATATGTTATGCCAGATTATCGATAGGGCTCATGTCTGCACGGAGCCAAAAATGTGTCAAACACTGAGTAGGGACTGCATATGTATAAATATTAATGGTATTGATGGTTTCTCAACTGTAACGAAACCAAAATGAAAATCAAGCCTTTTCCAAAATCCCAGCTAAACTTTGATATGAATAGTTTTATGTCCAGCATGCCTATCTTATCATTTAATTTATATTCAATATGCACTTATTTAGCGCTTTAAATATGAGAGTAATTTATTTTAATTAATTTATCAAATTGAATATCTTTATTAACATTTATTCAAATTTAATGGGAATTGATAAGTATCAAAAACATATCTAAGTGCAGAGATATTTTATATAAATTGTGTAGATATTTAATTAAAAGTGAAATACATGTTTTATCTATGTGTATGGTATGTGGCCATCGTCGTTGTAGTGGGAACATTAATTAACCTTTCGCATCTGCTGCAGGATTATGTCCTCGATCTGAACTCCATCGGGCGTATCGAGTGCATACAGCACGGCTTTGGCCACATCCAGGGGCTGCAGCTTGGGCAGCTCGGCCACCGCCTGCGAGTAAACACTGAGAAAATCCGTGTCCACCATACCGGGACAGATGCTCTGTTGGGGATAAAGACGGACGAGTGCCGCTTGGTTACCAGACGCGTACTTCATGTTTGATGGCCATGCAAATTTTCCCCAATGGATTGGGTGATGGGTGATTGGTGATGGATGGGGGTGGGGGTGGCGTTGGTGGTGTATGGTGGATGGATGGGGGTGAGTGGAGTGCCATGTATGCACTGCATTTAACTTACCGTTAATTTAATATTTAATTTGAGAAAATGTATTTCCTGGCGCACCGTTTGGCAGAGTGCCGTAATTGCATGCTTCGTGGCCGGATAAACGCTGAATAAGGGTACCGGCACTTCCGGTATGCGATGCCCGAGGACGCTGTCAAACGCCAGGCAGAAAGGCAGCAGAGTGGGCAATGTAGGCACATACGGAGACAAGCAGACAAAGTGTGTGTATGTGTGCGTGAGTGTGGGTAAATAAAGTCAACATAACGGATTTAAGCACTTAAAACAGCAACAAAAAAACAATGACGGAAACGAGAGACAGAGACAGAGCCCGGAACAGCAGCAACACTTACGAAAAATGGCGGTCAGCAGCTGACACGGCCTCCACACGCAACCCCCTACAATCCGCACTTTGCATGCCTCAAAGAATGTGTTGTGTCCCGTGTCCGTGTCCGTGTCCAGGTCCGTGGCCGTGTCCGAGTCGGAGTAGGAGTTCTGTCTCGCCCCATCTGCCTGCATGTCGCCGTGCATTTTGTGCAAACATTGCGTAAACTTCTTTTAATTTAACAGCCAGGTGACCGTAGCCATACGTTTTCGGGGACGATGGCATTTAAAGCAAACAGCTCCATACTCAGCCCCAGAATCGGCCACGCCACCGTCCTGCCAGCATCCCAGTGCACTTTTTTTAATTAATTAAGTCTTAATATTATTTCATTGACATTAAGCGAAAATGCATATTGACGACCACTGGCCCACCCCACAGCGTCACACGCTCATTAGCAACGCCTCACTGGACTGTTTCAGCTTCGACTCCGAACGGCCGCGCATTGTCTTCGACTCCCAGTGCACCGCCCATCAAATAAATACATTTTCTCATTAATTAACGTTTGCGAATTTCGAAGTCTCCTTTCGCGCTGCTCAATTGTATTCGGTTTTGACAATATGGCCGTGTCCGTTGCTCATTATGGCGCAAAAAAGCGCTGTGCATTTATGGATTGAGTGTCCTTAAAGCAAATTCGATGCAGAAGTTTAAAAAAAAAACAGGAAGAGTTGAGTCAAGTCCCACCACCAATTTCCATACGTTTGCCCATCATTTTCTGTAAACTTTTCACTCATAACTCTTCAATTTTTGCTCGAATCAATAAGATTAATGTTGACTTTATAGAATATAGGCATACAATTTGTATTCCATGAATTTCCATGAATGGAAAAGCATGCTCACCCACAGTGCGTATACGCAATTATTCAATTTATCCATTTGCTCATGGGCAAACGGCAATAATTGCTATCTGCTATGGGGTATGTACATGTGGCATGTATGTACATGTGTACTGCACTCAAGTAAATTTCATTAAAATTAAATCAATGCAATTTGAAATTAAAGCCATAGCGCAAATCAAACATTCGGCTTAATGCGCAACATTTTTGATTTTAAATGCGTCGCGCATTGGAATTCATGAAATAATAAAAATCATCGATGGTCGTAGGCAGAGGGGTGGCTTGGTGATTGGTGGGTTGGGCGAGCTGCGGGTGGAATGGAAAATGCAAATGCAATACGCATTCAGCTTAATGCAAAATACTTAATTATGTTGAATAATTGAGTTGTTGTTGTTGTTGTTGCTGTTGCTGGTTCTGGTGTTGCTGCGGCTGTTGCTGCCGGATTCTGGAGTTGTTTGTGCAAACACATTGGCCATGCAAAGCTTTTAATGCACCACCCACACCGCAAAAGCACAACAACAGCAAAGGAGTCGAGTGGCAAGGCCGCAGCATCAGATACCCTCTCAACTACATCGTTTATCGCATGGCAGCTATGGGAAATATATTTTCATCCGACTAAAGAGCTAAGCAGTTGTTTAATTTTTGCACTATCTGATAGCTGGGACAAGAAACGATTCCAAAAGTCCTATTACCCTCTCCAAGGGTATTGCAAGAGCAACAGCAGCGAGAGAGATGAACATGATTGAACAGGAAGAGTTTGGCTTGTGCTTGGTCACCCCCTCCCTGGTCCTCTCTCTCCCACTCTCTTTGTCTCACTGCCTGTCACTCTCTTTGCTTTCAGCATTTAAATATCAATAAATGTTTGTGCTGTTGTGCTGTTTGTTTGCCGCATGGCTTTTAATTTAATTTAAATAACGCACCAACCCCACTCCACTCACTATTCTGCACCACCTCAACCATCACATCAACAGCAAGGGTGGGGGTCGCGGTGGAGGAGTCGAGTCCTTTTTGCGCGATTCATGCAATATGCATGCGTTGCCCAACACTGGGCAACGCTATTGACTGCATGGCTGCATGGCTGCTCTGTTTGCACTTTCATTAAGCCCCAATCGGACACACCCACCCACGCACACCCACGACATAATTTGGCAAATATTTTGGCACTCAAGGCAGAAGCTTTTGGTCAGCCTGTGTTTCCCATGTAAGCAAAACTATAATACAAATATGTGCGCGTTTGCTAACTGATTTACCTTCTCTTCCGCCATGCACACCGCATAAATGAACATACATATGTGCATACGCATACATATACGCATATGGCTGTGTAGCTGTGTGGCTGTGTGGGTGCACGCACTAATTTCAGTTTAAGCCTAATTTACGTATTTTAGCTGCGTAAACAGCATTCGGAAAACGTTAACAATCAACAAAGACTAGCATTTGTATTGCTGTTCATAATTTGTTAATGAATAAGTGAGAATAAGTCTTGTATGGCTTCGTTTTACTATCCAATGCTCTTTCTGTGAACCAGAAATCAAGATTATGTTATATAAAGTTCACAGAAGAGAGACGGAAAGGAACCTTTTTTGTAAACATTATTTCTAACCCATATATGGGAATTTATAAGAATATTAATTGACCCTAGCTAATAAAGATACTCACCTATTCATGACCACAATATGTCCCCGAGCATTAGACACAGCCATGAGCTTGAGACCCTCCCGTAGGCAGCTGGCTGTGGCTACCACATTCGTGTCGAAAAGCTCCTTTATGTCCTTGGTCGATGACTCTGGAAGTGTGTTGTAAGGAAATTCTTTGTTTTTTTCGTGATTTAATCTACGTGAATCATCACTAACCAGTGAGAAAGTTGGCCTTTAGGATGCCAGCGTTGCAGACAAGGACATGAATGCAGTGGAATTTCTCGCGTAGCCAGGTGAAGGCTCTCATCAACTGCTGCTCATTGTTCAGGTCGCACTCATGGGCCAAGATCTTTCCCTCGCCTTTCACCTGATCTTTGAGAGCCTACAAAATATCGTCGATAGCAAACAGGGTATGTACAATATTTAATTCTTACCTCAATGAGCTGCACTCGCCGGGCGAGACCAACGACAGTCATGCCGGAATTGGCTAGCAGCACAGCCGTTGCTGCCCCAATGCCCACTGAGGCGCCCGTCACCACAGCCACCTTGTTTCGCCAGTAGGAATTATCCATGACTTAAGAGCAAAAGACACACAATTTGTAGGGTGCCGGAAAAGTAGAGACGACCTGTCAGCTTCGTAGGTCGGTAGCAACTGACTCTGGATGCTGTCAGCGATCGTGGATGCAGCTAAAGCAGCCATAGTACAGCACAGTGGGCGAAAAGTGAAGAGAACGTGCTCTAAAAGTGACCTTCATTAGGTTGATCTTCTACGTCTTCGATTTATGTGCCATATATTTTATTTTGCAACCTTCTTTTGGCATTTTTAAGAGCTGACATGACCCACAGTACGATCAGCGTTCGGCTTCTTCTTCTTGCGGTTCAGGGGCCAGGGACGAGTTTCCCTTTGATTGCAGCTGCTGGACCAGTCACTTTTAATTGATTGCAATTTACTTTCTGTCATATTGTATGGCTGCACTAGGTTTTGCACTTGTCCCATTCCAAGCCCTCCCCCGGCACTTTTCACGGAGCATTGCACTCGTTTTGCGTTTCTCTTGGGCTTTCAACTATGTTTTCTCGCATTTTCTTTTGTTTGCCTGGGGTTTTGCGGATATCTGATACCAAATGAAAAATCTCATTTCGCTTTGCGGCTTTGGTTTGTTGTCACTAATCTCTCGGGCTGACACTTGGGGATTATTTTCATACTTCTATTCAAAAAACTAAAACCAGTGCGGCTAAAAGGAGAGGGACTTGGGCACAGAGAATAAAAGACACGCAGGGAGGAGCATGGAGCATGGTGCTAGTGAAACTATGGATACAGTTCATATCTAAAAAACAACCACGATTTTTTATGGAAAGTACAAGTTGTTCATTATCAATCCAGCATTTTTTTTCAAATATTTTTGGTCGCAATTATTTAAAACCCAGAATAAAATACTTTATATTCCAACTTTTGGCTTAATTGTGCTTAAAATATTTCGTTGTTGCTGTTCCACACATTTGCAGGAATCAATAATCATTTTTACATACATATGGATGAATAGCAAAAAACCTTTACAAAGAATGCTTGGCTGTGCGTTAAGGAAGATACCAATATTTCAGTTGGATCAGCAAAAAAAAATCGGATCCCTATTTCTCGTGCAAATAGGCCAAATCGGTTAATGACCAGGAAAAGTACTTGTATTTATATATATATGTATTTTTATATATATCTACCACTAATCCCTACCCAATGCTTTCCTTCCTGTAATTACCATTTACATTTTTAGATAGTTTACATATATTGTTGGCTATTTTACTTCATTTAAGTACCATTGCATGTAAATATTCAATTAAGCCTGGGCTGCCATTTCATTTGTTCGCACATGCGAATGCGGATCGTACGGCATTGGTGGCGCTCGTCTATAGGCTGGATCCGATGGTGGACGCTACGCTGATAGGGATCTTCTGGTCTCTGATACGGTGTCCCCGGATATCCGGCTGTCGGTGGTCCCTGCGGCATAATTTGTTGCACCCGGCTTAGCCATCTATATGTTTATAGAATAAATGTTTGTTATAGTTTCTTGGATATATTCCTAAGTATCTTAGATCTCACATCTTTTGTCTTGAGGCTGGGTGTTGAACGTGACGAACTGGAGTCAGAGCGCGAGGGCAGCGGGCGTTCCTGTTAGATGCCGTTACTGCTGGGCTTCTCCAGACGTTCGCCGTTGAGGCTTTCACGATCGCGATCGTGATCACGATCCATAATCTATTTCGGCGACTAAACCGTCTGGCAAGAGGCCCACACCACATCTCTTGCGTGCATTTTTCTGGTGCATAGGGTCGGGTTCCTCGTCCAAACCTTGCCAGACCAGACCCGGCATGACGGCGATAAACGTCATGTTATAGATGAACTTTTGCAGTCGGGTCGGTAGTCTTATCTCCATCCAAGGCGCCGGGCGCCTTCCGAGCTCCACGGATTGGATTGCATTGCTTTTGTTTCCACTTTATCCCAATTCAATTTTTCCCAATTGCGGAAAAACGGTATTGGAACTATAAAAATCAAATTGGAGCTCACACTTAAACGCAAAATTGAGCTCCGTGTTGTTTTTCCGGTCTCAATTGAGATGGTCAAATCATCCAGCTACGGAATTGGTCAAATAATCGTTTCCAACTCCGGAGTTGACCATCTCTAGATAAAATATACCGAAATACCGCAATCCCCTTCGTTGCACTACCGCCCGCTTGTGGCATGCTTCAATTCAGCATTTCTAAGAGTTCCAATGCTTATAGATCAGTGGCGCTCTCATGGTGTCAGCGGGCGTTCCTCGAACTACAAAATTCGTTTGTCATTTGTCATGTCCTGTAATGTAATGTGTAGTGTAATGTAACTATCCTGTAGATAGTTCATAGTTCCAAAAACGGACGCAGATATTAAATATCATGGTATGGCAGCCCGCGGCAATTACGAATTGCACGAGTCTGGCAACGCCACATAAATAATAATAAATAATAATAATAATAATAAATAATAAAAAAAAATATAAAAAAAATAATACATAAATAAAATATTTCTTTAAAAATTGTCGCATAAAATTTTAAATTTATTTTCATCATAAATATTTGCTTTAGCGAGTAATTGCTGAGAATTTTGGAGTGTTTATTAACAAAATAAGGGCAACAATACGGGTAATTATATTGGCCATATGAGTCGCTAGCAATCGGCCCAGCATTTCGAACTAAAAGTACGATTGCTACTAAAATTTGTACTAGTCGGCTAAACTATCCATAGCCACTTTTAATATTTCAGTAAGATCTAATAGTGAGGGGCATTGCGTTTGAACTGCCTGTTGCAGAAGTCCTTCAAGTCCCCAGAGGGAGACGAACCCAACCTTGTCCAATCAAAGTCATAATGTGATATGGCAACGTATCCTTCATCCCGTATCGGGTCTCCTGCTGTGCGCTCTACGAGTATCTAAACAGGATTTTGCGCATTAGACACTCTTTTAAATGGATAAGTGTAACCCAGTCCCGCATGAGCAGCAGCCGCAGCAGCGGCAGCGTCTTCGTCAAGGACAGCGCCTTTGGTGGTGGTCAGCCAATCATTAATATCCTTGACCAGTAAGCGCCTTGGACAGCCTTGGACGGCGCAATCTGGTGGTGTAAAGACAATAAAATTGTATTGTAAATCGTTTATCTTCATTACGCGGCCAGCGTCAAAACTCTGCAAATAACCGCAATAAACCGGTTGCCGTTTCACAGTCATAACTGACCAGGTTCTCGGGTTCAAGTGTCCACCCCATCGCAACCCCATCCCCATCCAGAACAGCAAGGCACAGCACCACCCATTCTAACCCAATGCAACCCCTGCAACTGCAACCTTTTGTCCAAGCCCGGGGGTCGTAATTATATTTCTTTTGTGTGTCCATTTTAGTTTGTCTTTTCATTGCCTTGTTCTTAAGATTAAGCTTTTGTTTTTCCATTTAACGCTTAATTTCAACATTTTGATGCCCTAACGCGATTCGCTGACCCCTCGTTATCCAGCGGCCACTGCCACTGGTAACAGTAGGAGCTGCCTGAATCGAGATCGGTTACACAATATCCTCGATCCCCGATCCACGACCCCTGATGTCTCTTCGGGCAAACGCAACTGACCGCAACTAAGCAAACACTTGGACTTGGTCGCGCCAACGGGTTATTACGCTTCGATTCGCATTTGACTTATGCTGGATGTGAATGGAGAAAAAAAACGGCTTTAATTGCATTAGAAAACCCTGCAACGGGTTCCCCTTCCACCACTGACCGCTGGCCATTGTGCGTCGCCCTGGTTTTTGTTTGTTTTACCGACTGGACCTGGCCCCGTTTAACCTTTTCAATATTCTAGGCTATTGTCCCACGGCCAGCGGTCAACTTTTAATGCACTTTCCGGTCATGGCTGAGTACACTTCAGACTGTCCAGAACTTCTTGTTTGTACTTCACTGTTAAGCGGATCAGTTTCAGTTTCAGATTGCAGATTGCCCCACTCCCTGGCTTTCGTTGCGGTTGAACTTTGATTTGATTTGCATGTGTCCATCCGTTCCCAGCGCACGGGTTTTTTCGGCTTATTTTTCGGCTAATTTTTCGGCAATTTTCGTCAGCACTCCCTCAAAACGTCCAGCCCATCCATTCAGGCAGAACCCAAAACTCAATCTGCCAGTGCATATAATTCTGTGGGTACGTGCGCTGCCCGCTTTGGTGGCCTTTGCCAAGAACACAAAAACTTATTACAATTGCAGAGAACTGCAAGAACAAATTAAGGCATGAAACGAATGCATCGAGTCGAGATTGCGAATACTCTTACTCTCAAAAAGGTTAAGGGATTCTGCAGGATCCCTTGAAAGATCTGTGGCCATAAAAATCTTCAACTTCCATGCACTTTTGATTATCCAAATTTAATCAGCAGATAACGAATATCTAAATGATTCCAAAATCAATCAAAACCGAAAAACTTCCCAAGGCAAATCCAATCAACAATTGTTTCGCTTTTTTTCTGCCATTACAAAAGGCAAACGAAAACATAAATTATACTGAAATGCAACCCGAAGAGTGCCCGTGCCCCGTTCTGATTCGATTCTGCCATCCTGCCTCCACACAATATTGCGTGACTTTACGTGGGCCCAAAATTGACTTTGATCTGGCACTCATTAGTACTCGTCGCATTGCACTCATCGTTCCGGATGGCAATTTATGCTCCCAAAATTGCTCAATAATATCTTTTGGATTGCAAACGAAGAAGGAGTTGGCGTGTTGCCAGGCAGAGGCAGATGCAGAGGCAGGAACTAGGAGTGCCGCCAAGATCTGTTCTGGGAGTGGGCGATGCATGTGGGCATTGTTCTGCTCTCCGACTGAGAGAACAACTTAAGGCAGACGCATACAGGAAATGTGGTTCCGAGTGGATAAGATTTTTGTGAACTTTTGTTAGTTCCACACCTGTTTTTTCTTTGGCCAAAGCAAATCAAACTTCCCTTCCCCATTGAATACTTTCAGTGAAGACCACACGATACGCTTCGTATGCTAAATGGCCCAAAAACAGCTCAAGAACACACAGACACAGAAATTCCCAAAAATCGCGCGCTTTTTATTGTCGGTTTTCCTTCCTGTCCCAAACAGAGTACTACACTCCTACTT